ACATAATAATTCTTACCATGGTGACTATGGCATAATCCAATAGACTGCAGTAATGAAGGCAGTGAGGTGATAGTACTCTAAAATACAAATACTCCTGAAAACATTGTATAATAGTTATCTGCCATTGCAAGGCTGTAATAGCAATTCTTAAAGTGCTCAAGTATAGTCCTGCCTTGAAGTCAGGGGGAGAATTACATAGCTGTGACATGTTCTTCTAGCAGTGATTCCCAGACATTTTTTTAATTAATAGAAATCAGAATTTAAAATTTTGGAGATTGATACAACATTAAAACTACCATCTGCTATTACACCATTAACACCCCCCCTCCACACACACACACACACACACACACACACACACACACGAGTCAGCATGTAACAACCTCAACATTTTGCCATAGATTAGCTACTGTGATACATGGGCCTGTGACAGATACAGGAACAAAACAAAATTATTTCTGATAGATAAATACTTTTCATCCAATTGTTTTATGTATCTCAGTCTCTGAATCTTCAGTTTGGAGAGTACCTACATTTGTTCTGCTGTGGTACTTGGAGAATCACTAGTCAGAGCCATGAGTATTACCAATGTTAGTTCAAACAACGAGCTGCGATGGCCAGAGCAGAGACCCACAGTTCAACCAAAGCCTTTTGAAAAGGGATTTCCCATGAATCTCTGCGATGTTACAGCAGTTCTGATCACAGCAGTGTCATGGTGCTAATTCTACTCAGTAGTAGCCTCATAGTGGTATCTCGGGGCACAGAGCTAACTATTAAAAAATCTGCAGAGACTTTGAGAAAGAGATTCAACTGGGTGCTGGCAAGACTTTTTCACCACTTAGTCTCCTTTGGTTCTCCATCCATTTGCAGCTCAGTTTCTCATGTTCTACGTTAACCTGCCTAGCCTAATGACTACTTACTTCACGACAACTGCGAAAGTAACAACAATTCAAACACACACACATTTAATGTAGAATAAAATGTAAACCGAATAAATAATAGTACAGTTTTCAAACCTATTTTGGTAAATCCTGCAGCCCAGGCAAATAATCCCATACCATTTTCATTTCCTTAGGTTAATTCTTACTGAATACTAATTTGATATATTCAATATAAGATATAATAATAAAAACCCCCCTAAATTTGGACATTTAAACATGCTTTATTCTCTCTATTCTGTGAGGTAATAGGTAGACATATGTATTTATAGATTCTAAAATCTCAGAACTATACATGGGGTGAATCATAAAATGTATATTGTAGAAAGAATATACAAATGAGTTTACACATGGAAGACATGATACATATTTAAAGACATATTACATTATTTCACATTTGACAGGAAGTATACCTGGTTAATAAAGTTTTCAAATAAACAATTATTCCAGATCATTAATCAATAAATAGCATTGCACATGGCTCTTAAAAGCACATAGAGAAGCAAGAAAATGATCATCATGATTTGTATTGATGGTATGATTAAATATGACATATGGATACTGAAAATAGATTTCATGTAAAGTGGAGGTATGAATGTATAATATAAACACCTCTTAGTTGCACCTACAGTAATATATAAATAAGGCTTTCCCTTGTATGGGAAAATTAGAGTAGTTCTTTGAAGCTATGTATGTGCATATGGTTCCCTCCTTCCAGCAAGCAATCTGCATTAGGCTCTGATAGGTACCCCTTTAATTTCTTGCCATCAGTTCATCCTCTCCTCTTTTCTCATAAAGAGAAATTTTCCTCCTAGCTTGTCTGAGATTTTCAACAAACAGCTTCTTCCCTTCAGCCTTTAAATATGATCAGGTGCCTGCTGTCTTAAAAATTCCCTTCCAGAGTCCACCCTAATTCTATCTTTTCTTTTAAAAAGAAAGTCTTTTTTTTAGTTTTTTAGATTTCTGTCTCTATTTACTCTGTAATGAGGAGAACTGATTTTATGGTAAACCTAACCATACAAATGGAAGAGTGAGGAGGGAAATAACTAATTAGCATATTATGCTTTTATTATTATAGATCTGAGCCTTTCCCTACATTTGACTGTTTCTTATGTTAGCTAAGTATTTCCTTAATGCTCAAGACTGTTTCCCTTGAGTTTTTTATACCTTGCAAAGGAAAGAACTCCACTGAAAAAACGATTTCTTCTCTGTTCTTCCAAGGAACATCTCTTAAATGTTTGTGTTCTGAGGAGTTCTATGTCATCCATCTATCTCACATATGGCTCAATTTGATGACTGCTAAGTTTTAATCTCCAGCTAAGATTTCCCTCCTGACCCACCTTGTGTGGCTCAGTGATTGAGCATTGACCCATGAACCAGGTCAACTGTTCGATCCCCAGTGGGGGTGGGGTGGGGTGCAGAGGCAGCCAATCAATGTTTCTCTCTCATCGATGTGTCTATTTCACTATCGCTCTCCCTTCCCCCCTCTCTCAAATCAATAAAAAACAGTAAAAATATTTTTTCCTGAATTTCAGATAAATATATATAAATATCCATTAAACTTTTCCTCTCAGATGTCTCCAAAAATACACCAAATCAATATATTAAACTTAAGCTCTCTCTCTTCTCCACTTCCACTTATTATTCTTTTTGTATTTTCCATCTCAGTGCATATCGTCACTCACTTGCTCAAATTAGAAACCTGGGTATCAATCAATTTTGGAACTGCCATTTATCTCTTGTGCCTTATGTCCAGTGTAACATTTAAGAATATATTGAATCTAATATTTCTCTCCATCACCTATTGCTTCCATATACTCTTCCCTGAATTACAATAGACATTTCTTAACTGGTTCAATTACCTCTAGCTGGTCTCTTCTCCAATTCAAACTCTGAAAAAGCTATCAGTATTCATTAAATAAAAATTTAATCATGTCTATGCCCTGTCTAAAATAGTTCAATGTTTCACATCCCATTTCCTCCACTGTAAGGCTCAGCATAATGTGGCTTCTGCTTATTCCTCCAGCTTTATTTTACACCCCTCTTCATTCTTAACTTCCTTTAGTTTCTTTACTAAACAGGTGCATGCCCTCACAGCACTGTATCCCATCTCTACAGCACTGATCACATATTATATTATAGTTATCTGCACGGCTGAGTATTGCTTAATAGGCAGATTAATAACACGTGTAACACCTGCAAATCAGGGTATTCACAATTATTTGGTGTAATTTGATATTTTATATATATTAAAAGTACTGAAGTCATCATCAAGGGGAAAATTATCACCTAGGTTACAAAGTGTTTTGATTATGTAGTGCATATGTAAGTTATGAATCAGTTATAAAGTGAACACTCATGAACTTAAAAACTAGAGTGTAAGAACCACAGTTAAACTTAAGAAATAGGACAGTACCAATAATACCAGTTTCCTCCCTCATCCTACCTCCAGTTTTCCCTTTAGAGATAACAATAATCCTAAATTTTTTGTTAACTTTATAAAATTAGTTTTCTAACTCATGTAATTATGCCTAAACAATGTGTTTTAATTTTGCTTATTTTTGAGATTTATAAATGTGGTATTTTTGATGTGTGACATCTTCTGAAACTATTTTTTTCACTCTAATTATATTTTAAAACCTTATATACATTATGATAATTAAAGTTAAGTAATTTCCATGGCTGTAAAATATTTCTTTGTGTGGATAGCAGAATTTATGTATATACTTTCCTGGTGGTAGATATTGTGTTTTTCAATGTTCAACTATTCTAAATATTTAAAGTATCTGAATGACATGTACACATTTTTTTTCTAGAATAATACTCAGGAAGAGAATTATTGGAATGTAGGGGTCTATGCATGTTTAGCTTTATAAGATAATTTGTTATCAAACTGTTGTGATTTTTATTCCACAAGCAGTATAAAAGTTTCCATTGCTCTTATACTTGCAAACAGCTTCCTTTAGCCAGTGTAACATAGCACCTTTTTTTTGCATTTCCTTGATTAAATGATTCAGTTTTTAAAATATTTATTTACTCTTCTGATTTCCCTTGCATTTTATAATTTTAAAATATTCTATTGTATGTATTTTCTTATTGATTTGTAGGAGTTTAAAACATATATTCTGGAATACTAATCCCCTGTCTCGCATATATCTCACAATTCAGAATTCTCTTGTCTCAGTTTTCTTTTCTTAATGCTTTTTGTGGCAACTTAATATGTAGTCTTATGATTACCTACCTATCACTCAGCCTATCTCACTAGACTAAAAGGTCGGGGGGTAAGATACCATATCATATTTATTTTTGTTCCTCAACATCTAGTAACTGTTTCAAACATAGTGTTATTTGACTCATTGTTTATTAAATGAATGATTGGATGAATGAATGACCTTTAGAAATTCAAATCAATATCATTGTAGTCAAATTTTATTTCATGCCCAGCCAGCATGGCTTAATGGCTGAGCATTGACCTATGAACTAAGAGGTCACGGTTCGATTCCCAGTAAAGGCACATACCTGGGTTGTGGGCTCGACTCCTAGCAGGACGTTCCGCTCTCATTGATGTTTCTCTCTCTCTCTCTCTCTCTCTCTCTCTCTCTCTCTCTCTCTCTCTTTCTCTCTCTACCTCTCTGAAATCAATAAACATATATTAGAAATAAAAAATGTCTCAATTTAAAAAAATTTCATTTCATACAAATTGGCTACATCATAATGCTGAGCCAAGAAAATCAGAAGTATATGCTACACACCTTCCTGTACTTGCATGTCAAAGATGGTGGCAGGCACTAATAAGAAGTGCTAGTATCTGCAGAGAGGCAGCAGAATGTTTGTAAATATTTATTACCAGCTCTGAACATTTGGCAATGTTCATTTTTCATCCTTTTTAGTGCACTTATATTAACCATCTTTTTCAGTGCAATTATAATACTTATAATAAAATAATATTTAGCCTAAATTTGTCACAAAGTTAGAAATGATGTTAAGCTATAAGACATGGATTACATATTACAATGGATGTGCAAGGCTCAAGGTTTGTGTCATCAACTTAAAATTGGTTACCTTTTTAGTAATGGTCTCCGGAGGTACATCTCGCCTCCCAAGAGGATAAGGATTCCATTGGCCACTAGGAGATACATCTTCTTGTCCATTGTCTAAAATGTTGCTTTGCTGGGACGGGGTCTATTGCAAAAATGGCATGGCATTCTTTAGTGATGTGATAGAAGTTTAATCATAGTTTTCTGAAGAGAGTCCCTAATGATTATGGTCAAATTAATTTTGTTTAACTGCAAAAAACCCCATACATCCTTAACTGGAAATATTATTATACATCTTTTACTCAGAAAAAAATTCTAAATTGACAGCTTTCTGGAAGCAGTGAGAAATTCAACTAAAGTAACAATCCTAGAGTTACATACTGAAATTTACAGAAAAGTTTAGATTATTTACAGTACCTGAATAAAAAAAAATTAATCAACTGATAAAACCACAACATTTAAAACTTGCTTATTTTTTTGAGCATGCTACTACCGTGTAAAGTATAAATTGAAACCATAGAAACACAGTATGTAACTCCCAATACTTGAAATCATAGCCTAACAAATTTTATAAGGCTGCACTGATTCTGGAAAAATATACCTTGCACTAATCCAAAAGAATGTTAACACTAGCATAATGTATGTAAGATTCATGGTTATATGACATTATCTACAGATAGCCATGAGGGGGAAAATTAAAACAACATAAAATGTTGTATTATTAGAATCACAGTATAAATAAATAATGACTTTTAATTTGAAATTTATTTATATAGGTCACATGCATTAAAGTTTAAACTCTTTATATATATTTAATTTTTTGTGACTTACTGCTTATTATTTTTAACAAATAATAATTTCCCTGTTTTTATTATTATAATATTAGATATTGGGGGGGGGGCGTCCTTCATAGTCTGACCTGAATAATAGGAAGGAATCACACACCACAGAGGGATATAATAGTGGGATATTTTTCTTCTGAAATCAGATTAACTTTTCACAAAGTCTTCCTCTTCCCCGAACCTACAGGATACACAGGAAGTTCCTGAGGAATTCTTATGGTGAGATACTATGTTTAGTCTTCCCTATTCCACTTTATGTGGATGTTCTGAAGGATCACTACAGACACATAAAGCTGTTACAGCATGTATGTGCAGCTCTACTCTGTGTGAAGTATTGTCTTCCAAGCCCAGAAAGGGAGAACTAGACATTCTCTTTATAACATGGCAGAAGTGGGCTGCTTGCTAGGCTTCCTCTGATTACACGGAATAGTCCCAGTTGTTCTACTTTAGAAAACAATTATATAACCACTCTATTTGTATTCTGACTGCATGCCTTTTTAAAAAGCATTGCCTGGAGTTACTTGAAAATCAGATGTGTTATGAAACTAGATGAAGCTTTCTTGAGGTCTAATGGATAAAGTGAAAAGTAAGAAGATAACTCAGTTTTCTACTTATTCTTTGGCCATGAGCCTATCTGAGAGTGAAAAAAAGAGAAAAGGTATTGAATTGAAGCTCCCGGGTTAGCTAGAAATGAATTTGTGTTTCTTTGGAAAACAAACATTAACACATTTGAAGTTTATATTACTTAAAAATAACCAGATAACTATTCAGGGTCCATCTGTTTGTCTTTAAGCATTAATTTTCTAGTTTTTACCTTTTTTTTTATTATTATTTGGGCATATGTCCCCAAACAATTTTTCAATGATATTAAAATATGACAACTCAAATTATTAAAATTAAGCAGTTAAAATGTAATTATCCAGAGCAGGCATTACGGGCCCATGTTTTATTCTGGCTAGGTTTCTGGGCCAGTGAAGTGGGATAATAAAGTGTTTTTCTGGATAGGTCTGTGCAACACATATTTTTTTGAGAGTTCAACAGGTATCTTTTTCTTTCCTCCATATCACGCCATCTCTTTTCCTCCATTAAACTTGGTTCAACTGGCCAGATGTGACTTCTAATCACAGAGAGCAACTGATAATTGCAAAATCCTTTCTGGCATAAAAAAAAGGGGAAGGAGGAGCTAAAACTCTTCAGTTAAATTTCTAATATGATGATATAGGCTTTCCATTTGTTCAGAAATTCATCTCTTTCTCTTTAAAATTAGGATCAGCAAGCATACCAATTTCTCTCTATTACGGCCAAAGGAAACATGCAGACACATAAAGAAATACTTTCACTAGACAGCGAATTAAAGGGATAGTCTGAACGCAGTTTCCTTTATTAATTACAAGAATGTTTTGGTCTTTTTGTTCTAAGTAAGACATCCTAGGGGTGACTTCAGTTTGCAGAAATAGAGTATGGGAACAATTTATTGTTTGGGATGGGGGAACCCAAAAGAGAGTTATATGGTAGATTCACATTATTTCCTAAAATGAGCATAGGCATTAACAAAAAATTGTACTCTTGATAAAGTGTTAATGAACCAAGTATAAATGGAGTTGCTCAGTTATTAAATTCTACAGAAGATTAAAAGGAGCAATTGAAAACTATAAAAAATAGTAATGAAATTATCACTATTGAAATTTATTATTTTAGAGAAAATAACCGAATTGAGGTTCAGTTATTCATTTATTTTTAGTACCACATTATAGATATTTTATTTATATACTTTAAAAGATTAAGAATGAATCTTATCCTTACCACATGTAACCAATTAAATCTAAAGGACATGGAAAATCATCACCTGCAGCATTCCCTCAGCTTCTAAATTCAGCAGATCTTCAATATTTCAAAATAATAGAGAAAATGGTCAGTGTGATTTAGTGAAAAATAAAAAATAGTATTTAAAAAATTCAGTATTGCTAATAAAAATGTTGCTCAATAGGTACTGGTCCCAAAGACTGCTGTGGACATTTGTAGATTTAACACTGCTGTGAATGATCACATGTGTCTATTGGAAGAAGTGATGTCTAATTTTGCTGAGACATAAATGTGCATGAGTATGCGTGACTCTCTGTCAGTGTATATATATGAATGTGTGCGTGCAGGTGTGTTTATATGTCTCCATATGTGAGTATGTGTATGTACAGGAGTCATAGGTAGGAGTAATGAAGTTAGCTGGCCAAATGGCTTTGCTCTTGTCCTCTCATTGATGAGTATAATAAACACTTAGTGCATTTTTTCAGAAAAATTATAGTAAGTGTAGTATTACAATTTGGCACTTTGTAAAGGTCTTGGAATGGATCCCTTAAGATCTCAAGGATCTGTTTTGCTCACTAATTGTCACGTGATTCATGAAAGGCATTACCATAGATTCAAAAAATGCTTTAAAATTAATTTTCCTCAAAATATTTCTGGCAAAATTATTGTTATATTATTATTTTACTGCATATTTTTGAAAAAAAATTAGGTATTATAAAGACAATTTTATGCCAAGCTTGAATCTAAACTATTATGATATCACGGGGTTCAATCTGATGGTCGTAAGGTCATGTCCACATGATTCTTAAACCAGCATTTTACTACAATGTTGAAGAAGCATCTGTATGGGTGCTAAGATTATTTTGGTAATTTTATCTTCTACTGATGAAAATGTATGTGGTTTATAAGATAAAAGCACTGTGTATAATTAAGCAGTTAAGAGAATTCTTCTGAGGGTAGGTAGCCAATAATAAATGCAGCAAGATCAATAGAAACTGTAGGCATAAACTGCCTCTAGGTGCCGCCTAAATAGTATCAAGTAAATAATCCTTGGAACTGGGGTAAATAAATGCATGTAAAATGTTGGCACTATTTGATCCAGAGTCATCTGCCTAGATGCAGTAATAAAGGACATTGAAGATTTTAAAGTCATTTAGGTGCAAGTCTTGCTATCTAAACTTATCTAATTCAAAATATAGCAGAATGAGTATTAACCAATAAAACACATAACATTTTCTTCCGGGAAAAATTCTATGAAAAGATGATTTAATACATATATTTCCATAATTTCAGCATCCCTTCTCTTGAAATTATAATTTATGTTAGTATCTGTTTTAGTAATCCAATAAGCATTAGGTGCTATAGTATAATATTATGGTGGGAGACATTAAAAAAAGAAAGAAAAGGAAGCAAATTATCAATTGCTCCAGTGTAGAAGAGACCACGCTATGAATATTGGCAGCCAAAAAACTGCAAACAGAAGTTAGAAAAGGCCAATGATTTCTTTCACATCCGTGCTTATCCCTGGGGCTACAGTAACATGGATGATTAATTTATTATTTTTTTGGGTTCACAACCTTCAGCTTTTGACTACTACCAAGCATATTTCTCGGTTGTAGTAAGTGCTCAGGAAGAGCAGGAGGATCTTAATGAGTGCAAGTTAACTATTAGCATTTAGTAAGCTCAGCTAACTCAGAAAGCATGTCTGTAGCTCATAGAGGTTGACTTGGGTCATGATATGTTATGGATAAATGAATATATTATACTTATGTGTTCTTTCACCCCATGATATCTACTTTTCTGGATTGTTAGGAAGATGATGTGGGATAATAATGTGTACAAGAGCTGAAACTGGTTTGGCTCAGTGGATAGAGCGTCAGCCTGAGGACTGAAAGGTCCTAGGTTTGAGTCCGGTCAAGGGCATGTGCCTTGGTTGTGGGCACATCCCCAATCAGTTGCAGAAGGCAACTGATCAATGTTTCTCTCTCATCGATGTTTCTAGCTTTCTATCCCTCTTTCTTCCTCTCTGTAAAAACTCAATAAAATATATTAAAAAGTGTGTACAAGAGTGCTTCATCAACTCTTATGAGTTATGTTCTAAGAAAATGCCAGGTTTTACAAACATTTGAGAAGGCAGCATTGTATAGTAAACAGCAGGAATTTGGGTGCCAAGCAGTCAGATTCTAATTCTAGCTGCCCCTATTCTAGGGACAGGGGTTACAATAGTAAAATAGTAAAAATATAAGTGACTTATTTTTTGTGACACATGAAACTCAGATTTATCATCAATATAATGAAGATAAATACTTCCTTTAAGAGTTTTTGTTAGAGTTGGGTGAAAAAAACATATTTAAAGTACCTCATTGTACCAGGTACATAGTAGATTCTCAATAAAATCTATTCTTTATTCTTCTTCTATTGAAATATTTATTCTACCATTAATCTGGATAATAAAAATGCTAGTTTGAATAGACATTTTACAATACAGTTGACCCTTGAACAACACATGGTTAGGAGTGCCAATTCCTTTGCAGTCGAAAATCCACATATACCTTTTAACTTCCCCAAAACTTAATTACTAATAGCCTACTGTTGACCGGTAACCTTACTGATAACACAAACAGTTGATTAACACATATTTTCTATGTTATATGTATTATATATTGTATTTGTACAATAAAGTAAGCTAGAGTAAATAAAATGTTATTAAGAAAATTATAAGGAAGAGAAAATACATTCACAATATTTACTGAAAAAGGTCCATATGTAAGTGGACCTGTACACATCAAACCCATGTTGTACGGGATCAACTGTATTATATTTCTCTCTGATAACATAACATTTCAAGACAATAGCTAAGTTCAATTACAACAGAACACATCCGAAGAAGCACATAGAACCATTAATAACATCATAGAAAGTTGCCTTAAATGCTTTTTGGAGCAGCAGTAAATAAAAAAAAAATGAGTAAATAAATGAATGAATAAATAAGTAGATAGAAAATATAAAAGCTTATAATTTAATAGATGATTTCATGTCTTAAATGCTCTGATCATAAGTATCATTACTTTTTTTTTAGGAAATTAGAATAATCATCAATAAATGAGAATATTAAAGAAAATTACATTTATTAAACTAATGTTGTTATATTTATTCACATTCTTTTAATATCTTGAGGCTCCATAAAATTAAATTTGAAAGTGTAATTTACTGTTTATCATGTGGAAAGTCTATATTTAGCTTGTAATTCATAAAAAATGTGCATTACTCAACCTAGCATAGAAAAATATGTAAGTGGAACTACTCAGAACACATAGCAAAATCTGGGAGAGTCTTCTCTTTCTGTCCATGTAAATATTCACTGTGTAAATTCTTATCAAATACAGTCTTCAATCTTCATTCACAAATAGTTAAATCCTTTCATTAATTGACTACAAATTTATTTAAAGAAAGTTGAGAAGAAAAGACAAACAAACTAGATATGTTTTGGCAAACTAAATAAACCCCAAACCAAAGAAGAAGGAATGTGCTGGGTCAGGATCTCAGCTTATACACATGGCACCTTTCTTCACTTACCAAAATGGAAGGTAGGAATCACAAAAGGCCCACTGCACTGGGTGCATAACTTACCAAAAGACAGTCTCAGCTGAGAGAGGAAATACACAAAGGTGCCCTTTCCTCTAATGACCAAAGGTATAGTCTGGATTTCAGCCCCAGAATGTCCCCTTGGGAGGGCATGACCACACAAAAGTATGCTGCACCTTTATTTCCCTTACTTAACTTGTAATATGTGAAAAACATTCATTTAGATTCCTTAGGATACTTCATTCATTTTTTCCTAGCACCTAAGTAGAGATGGCTAATATTATCACTCAGGAATTTTATGAATAAAAAGACAGTGCCAGTGTTTCCACAGGAGAACGGACAGCTCTGTCAATTTTCAATCTGCTGAAAAATACATGTTTATAAATTGACTTTATTTTGTAATTTAGTGAAATTCTTGTGGCCAACAAATATTGTAGATATATTTGTTGCAAAGAAATTGTAGATATATTAATTTTTATTATCTTAAGAGGCAAGATAGAAGTGCTGAAATGAAATTTTATGCATTTGAAAATCAAAGGAAAATAATTCTTGTCCATCTCCTTTCTTGTAAAAAAGAGCTCAGGGAAAGTGCGCCTCAGGCATGGGATCATTTAGCAACAGCGGTCAGTGGATCCCAGAAGGGGGATTCGGAGAGTCTGCCTTTTAAGAGTGATGACGGGAAAGCCTGGCAGAAAAACCAGACAGATTTTCTAATTAAGGAAGCTCTGCAGAACAGAGGAACCTGACCAAAGGTGAAGGGGCAGAGGATTAAATTGGAATCCATGGGAGGAAGCAGAGGCTGGAGGAGTCTCAAAAGTGAGCAAGCGCCCCGCAGTGTCACATAAGACGGAGTTCCTGCAGTGGCACCAGGGTAGGAAAGTTGTCCCAAATACCTGAAGGCCTAAAGTTTAGCCACCTTACTTAAACTGATATTTTGGGGTCACGAAATCTTTTTGAGGTAATACAATAGAATACTTTCCCTGCCTGTGTTCCTTTTTTATCCCCTGCCTTCTTTGTCTCTCTCTCTCTCTCTGTCTCTCTCTTTCTCTCTTTGTTTGGATAATGCAATATTGACAATAATTCATTTTTAGATGGAGTCTTGCAATAACTGAATTATTCTTGATTTGCAGTTTAATGTAGCTTCCAAAGAGAATCCCTTTAGGTCATCTCTGTGCCCAGTGGAGGAAGGTTGAAGAGCCTCTAAATATTATAATTCTGGAATATTTCTGTTATAGATCATCCGAAAGCTATAGTAACCATAATGAAGCCATTCTCTAGGGTACCCCAAACAACATCAGAAAATTAATATAGCAATACAGAGGTACCTAAATTATATCTGCAGACAATCTAGATATTCAGAAAGAGTGCTTCAAAGTATATTACCATATTTTTAGCACTAAATATATCTGTGTTATTCTATAGAGTGATAAAAACTAGGCAGAATAAGGAGCTATTTATATGGCGTAACTTTAAGGGATTCAAGTAATAGCTTCCTTCATACCAAGACCTCTCTAAAATCACTGAATTTTGAAATTTGATCATTTTAGTTTAAGGGTTTCATTTCTATTACTTGTCAAGCCTTCCAGGAAAGGTGCCTATTAAAATTGTGACATCTCCTCTATTACTTAGTGCAAATAAGTTAGTTTCAAGGCCTTTTGCCAAACTGGTTTCCTTGCGGCCGAGGATGAGAGCCTTGGGCGTCTGAGGGAACATGAAGGGCAGGCTCCATAAAAGCTGGGGCTCCAGCTACAAAGCCTTGCAGGGAGTGGTATGTGGAAGCTGACTTGTATTAGCTCAGGAGAACCGTCTGCACTCAAGCCCCAGTTCTGAGTTCAGTGGAGTTGCCTTAGTACTCTGAAACTGACTGAGAGGGAGTATTTATACCACTGACACCGGCAAACATCACAAATCATGGCCATGGTTTTCTCCCTGGAGAGGAAGTTACTTACACACCACTAGTTCTTCAACAGGAGACCAAGAACAAACAACATTCAAAGGTTCTTAATTTAGTTAGGTGTTTTTTTCCCCCCCAAAGTGATGATACATTTGTGAATATAAATATCTCTGATTTTTATCTCTCATAGTGGGAAGCAAACAATCCAGAGGTAGAGATTGTTTTTAAGACTAATCTGACAATAAAACCTGAACTTGAGGTCTTTTGACCCTTATTTTGCTAGGGTGGGAGTTTGTTCCATATGGTGATTCATTTTGTTAGGAGGCTACTGTCACTCTGTTATCCCCACTTTGCATTGCATTTCCCCCCTAAAAAGTTACTAGGCTAACGACTCTATGTACAATAAAGTCTTAGTGACATATTGTGCAAAAATGACTCATCAGTATCCATCAAAATGTAACCAAGACAGAAGGCATTAATCAATTTAAACAGGCAAAATGCACATTCTCAGTTTTGCCTGAAGAAAAGGAGCAGAAATGTTCCTTTGCCAATGGAAATGTTTCATCTTACAGTGTATTCTCTTCCAAATGAGCCTACATTTTCTTTTATTAGCCGAGGTAACAATGAAGCCACAAACTTGTAACAATCTACTGGGGAAGCCACAAACTTGTTTCTCATGTTTTACTTCTGTGTAGCATCTCCTGCAGGGGAAACAGGCTGAAAAAGCACTTGTTGACCACTTAATTTCCATTCCATTTAGGACTCTGTCTTTCCCAAAAGAATGAACAGAAATCCAGTTATAATTTTTAGCTCTGTTCTTAGAATGCATCAGCAAGTTAAGGTTATCAAAAAAAAAAAAAAGTATAAAAAAAAGAATAAAGGAAAAGAAAATGAATAACATGAAAAATGAGCCTTAAAGCAACACAAAAAGCCATGTACCTGCTCAATCCAAAAAGCAAAGCTGTAAAGCAGGAACCTGACCTTCAGTCTAGCTACAAATATTCATTTAGCAGCTCAGAAGAGTTCAAGGTTCTACATTAGTTGCCCTTGTGCTTTAGGGACTCTTGAGAGTCTGTAAGCAGGGCCATATGCACAGCCTAAACACAGGAAGTAAGCAAACTGTAATTGGCTTTGGTATGCTGACACATGTAGGGCAGTCCATACTTACTTTCTGAAGAGGTAGTTCTTGTAGATCAAATTTAGACTTAGTCTGCAAGTTTAAAGTCATGCTTCTGCCTGCATGCATTGCTGAAATACCTCCATAGGGCAGCATGCCAAGGTTAACTGTGTTGTGTTTGTAAGCAGCATTCTGAGTAGAGGAGATAATCATGTGACAGGGTGTGAACACATGCTCAACAAACTGATTATAACATGAATATGTTTCAATTTATCACATTTAACTTTAAGCAAGCAAACAGTAACTTTCTTTTCAAAACATGCACTCGATCAGACAGAAGCAAACAGTAAACAGTGTTAGTTATGCACATAATGAGTATTGTCCAAAACTACAGAAAAGACAAAAAGCCAAGATACATTCTGTTTTATATCTGCTGCTAACTCAGAGGCATAAAAATCTACCTTGCATATCATGATAGCAGTGATTTTGGACAGATGTGGTTTATCTGCGGAAGTCTATTAATTAAAAAAATGTAAACAGTGAAGTCAGTAAACTTTTGTCAGCTGCAAATCTCATGGTGTCTTTCACATTATGAGTTCATCACATACAGAAGACAAATACTAGCTTCTGATCTTGCCTTAAAACTGATGCACTCAATGTTGCAGCCAAAATCAGTTTATTTTATATCTCAGTTTATAGGCTCAATTACAGCAACTCAGAAAAAGAGCTGGTCTAAAGCTCATTCAATCTGACCAAAGTCTGACTGAATTTACAGATTAATTTAGTCAAACTAGTCAAATAAGTTATATGAGGATACAAATACTCTTTTATTTATTAAAAATTGCATTTAAGTTGGAGAAGTTTCATTATGAAACTAAAGGAATTATGACTTCAACTAGTAGTGCTACTTATATACTACACCTAAATAACTCTAGAAAAGTAGTATTATTTTAATTGTGGCTATCCTTCTAAAGTTATTCCAAGTGTCTGGTAGCTCATTTTTCCTATAAAACTTTATTTTAAAAAATTAAGACATTTTTGGATGCCTGGCCATCAAATAGTTTTCATCAGTACAATCTCTACTTTCCATTTATAATGGAAATGTAATAACTCAGTGTTTGATCCTTTAGTTAATTCTCTTATTTTGAAAAAAAAAACTATGTAAGTTAACTTAGTACCCTTTTAAAAAACTGAACACTAACAGTAGACAGCTACTCTACTCTAGGACATTATTTGCAAAGCAATGGTTTTTAGCATCAGAGGTTCACTTTACTATGGATTTTTGATTGTTTTATCAGAGTTTCTTCATTGTCACTATGCCGAAATGGAAAAGGACACTGAACACTTCAGCCTAACCCTTGGATTAAAATCACCCCACCTAGTGCTCTATTAGCTCCTCTAGAAGGGTAGCAGTCTCAGATACATGGGCTCATGTTTTAATTTCTCTCAGTCACAGTGGGGCTCTGTGGTGCAACGGGCATCTTTTATCCCGGGCTGTCCCTGGAGCTGCCTGTCCGAGTACAGACCAAGAGCTGTAACCAATATCATGTTGGTCTGTTAAGCTTATCGGAGCTTAATGGCAGTTCTGTTTCAGGAGGACTGGACAAAGATCTTATATTTTCCAATGTAACTATTTGATTTCCAGGGTTCAAATTGCTCAATGGAATTTTGCTAGGAAAGAAGCATAGCATGTCTCTGGTACAATCTGACTTTGGACAGAATGTTCAGTGGCACAGCTATGTCAAAACTAGTTTTAGGCAACACATCTGTGTTGAATTCATCTTGTTGAGTAGCTGAGATTAAATTTTAAGTACAATATAGCCTGAAAAGCTCAGTACGTCAATTGGGAGGAAGAAGAAATTTTATTTGGAAAAATTTAGAAGAAGAGCTTCTAGGATTCAACGGCTTGAAGCAACTCTCTAAAGCAATTTCATGTCAGAATTAAAGGAGAAGCTATTAACATATATTGACGTTGCTCTGAAAAATGAAAGACACTAATAAAATGATAACCAAACAAGGGATAAATGGAGGCTGATTAAAAAGGGAGGTGCTGTCATTGCAATGGGAAATATATAAGTTAACTTTTATGTTTCTGGACCCTGGGACAGGCAGGGCCTCTAGACTTCCGGTAATCCAACCCCCCCTCTTATCTTCCCCCCTCCAAATTCCTACTCCAGTTAGGAGTCACCTACTTGTCAGTAGCACTGTTCAAAGGAGAGAAACCATTTAGCTGAGAAACCAGGAAAGGAATGATGGTATCAAATGTTCAGAATCTGCTTTTCTTTTTTTATGCTTTGTTTCCACTCAGTCCTCTGCTGCCTCAAGTTACTAGTCATTATACTTATGCTCTGAAAAGCTTCTTACAATCTTTCTTGACTCATTTATCTTACCCTTTTACGAATGGTCGTGTCTACACGAGGCCAGAGTTTCCAAACTGTACTGTATTATTTGGCCCCCAATTTTTTCTCCCTCCAAGTTATCTGTCTACATGGAGGGTATAACTTGAGGTAAGGCATGGTGACAATTGACCAGGTGTCTCCCACTGACAGCCAGTCATGAGGCTTTGATGAGCTCCCTTCAATGGGACTGAGCACACCTATTTGAAATAGACATTCTGATGAAATACTTGGCTAGGCAGAACCAATTTCCACAGTGAGAAACTAACACCCACACCCACACCTATTAGTGCACTCTGTCCCCAAAATGATTGTTTTTTTTTGTCATGTAGACACGACCTACAAACAATATAATTATTTAGAAAAAGTCCACCTGAAAACACAAAATTCAAGGTTAAGGAAATATAGATGATAAATGCAGTGATCTGTGCTTTCAGTAGGACATCAAATAAAATAATAAAAGTATTGACTGAAAGACTCCCATGGTGTACTATTACCCAGATTCCCAATTTACACCGAAGCTTTTTAAACCTACAAAATGAGAAAAGGCCCTGTTTTCACAGAAAAGAGGTTTTTTTTTGTTTTGTTTTGTTTTTTTTTTTTTTTGTGCAGGGCACACAAAGGCCTGTACACCAAAGCCAGAAAGGACACTCCATAATGATGGTCATTGGTCACACTTCTAAAAAATGACCAGATTCCTCTTAAAGAGAAACAATAGTCAATAAAAAATAATTCTAGGCCTTATACATTGTTTTACTCCTCAGTAATTATGCTTCCTTGTGACTTAATTTTTTATCTGAAATGGTACTTATTTCCTGAATATACATACTAATTTGTACATTTGTAGTCTTTATAAAGACTTCATCTATTTCTGTGGTCTGTAGTATGATTTGAATTTAAACATTTCTTTCCATATAAAGACTGCCATTCTAAATGGCGGGATTTTTATTAAATAAAATAACATGGTGGGCCTAGCTGAGGAGGGCATGTCTGCTTATTTTATATTTTCTGTTTCTTGTTGGGAAGATTATTATTACTCCTTTGAAGTAATAACTTTAGTAGTCCCGTAGTGGTAACTATATGCAAATTTTATAAACAAATTAGACCTGACTTTAATAAAAGTGTGTCCATGCAGAAAGGGGCAAAATACTCACTTTTTTTATGGATTCAATTAAAATCATACTCTTTAGGTCACCAGAGAACAGTTTTGTGCCTTCGGAGAGACAATTTGCCTTAATGGCTAGAAAGTGGCTTGAAGCACCATTCTCGTATAATCAAGTGAAATTCTTTCTTGCTAACAATATTTAGGCTAGATTGGATGAACAACTCACCTACAAGGTTATGGACTCTCCAAGAGCATGAAACAATACCCATGAAGAAAAAAACAAAAAACTATAATGACCAATTCCCCACAATATAAACAAAAAACGCTGATCATCTATTCATCCACGTAGTGCATGCGTCACCACACGGACTTAAGAAAATGCCAATAAAATTAAAACTAAAAGGCAGGAGGGGGTATTCTGAACAGAGAAAGGCCAAACATACCCTGTCTAACCTTCTAGCTTCTATATGTCTAAGCAGCTGTTGTCTCCAGTCTGCAGGCATTTTACCACAGCTCTCCTCTCCCTTCACAGGAGTGGGCCTCGTCTTTATATCACTGTTATCTGATGGCTTGTCATAGTTACCCAGGTTATAGTCAGACGGTATTTTCTCCAAGAGAGCCGCCATGGTGGGCCTAGCTGAGACTGGCCTGGTCTGGGAGGCCCCGTAACTCTCTGTGCTGTAGCTTCTCGCAGACAGCGGCCTCCTCTGGGTGAGGTTTTTAACCGGAAAGCTTCCCGCCTGCGCTGCTGCTTTCACTTCTTGGTAGGAAGGGTGTTCGTCTTCGTACCTGCCATTCCTTTTCAGGAACTGGGGCTCAGTCACGGACATGCTGCTGCTGCTCTGGCGATCCAGGCCGCCCCTGTAGGGGGGCCTGCCGTACCGATCGCCGGGGGGCAGCTCGGGAGGCTCACTGACCCTCCTAAACATGGCCATTTCGGTGGCGCTCACCAGGGAGTCGGCTCTCCGCAGGAAGCCCGCCCTGGCCCCTTGGCTGGCAAACTGGGCGGCGTTGAGCAGGGCATCCTCGTTGACGGATGGCTGGGAGAAGGAGAACATCTGCTCCATGGGCGGGTACCCCCGGTAGGCCCGCGGGCTGATGAGGTCCTTGGCGAGGCTCTTGCCCGGCGGCTGCTGCTGCTGCTGCTGCTGCTGCTGCTGCTGCTGCAGCTGCTGCTGCAGGTACTCGGGGTTGTGCTGGAATTGGGGCGGCATCCTCTTGTCGGCCTTCACTTCCACCGCGCCCTGGGGGTTGAAGCTTTGGTCGAACTGGTAGACCTTCTTGGTCATGGAGGCTTTCTGGGGCTGAGGCCCCTTGCCGCCTCCGTACGCGAGCATCTCCGTGTCGTCCAGCATCGGGACGGACTGGCTGCGGGACATGCTGGCCATGCCCAGGGGCTCCGGGCCCAGCAGCCTGTCCGGGCGCTCGTGGCTGCCCAGGTGATCGCCCCCGGAGGCGTAGTGCTCCAGGGGGATGTTGTAGACCTTGTAGGTGCCGATGTCGATCTCATCGATGCTCTGCGACTTCTTGAACTTGTTGGACTTGATGTCTCTCAGGAGCGGGGAGAGCCTCTCGGTGCTCTTGCTGATGGGAATGCCCTTGGGGGGTTCCGGGCGGCAGTGCATCTGCGAGAAGAGGCTCCTGTTGGGGTTGGAGTCGTGGTACTCCCACGGGAGCCCCGGGGAGAAGGGGCTGGGGATGTCCACGGAGTCCTTCATGTGGTCCTTCCTCTCGGGCAGCGGGCTGGTGGTGGGGGTGCTCTCCAGCTTGGAAGGGAAGGCGGTCCTGTCTTCAAAGGGGCTGGGGGTCCTGGTCCAGTTCTGCCAAGGGTTGGGAGGAGGCACTTCTGTTTCCGGCGTGTGCCTGGCTGCAGACTGCTCCAGCTCCAGCGGGACGCCCACGATCCTGTCCTGCCGGAGCAGAGGCCTGCGCCCGTGGGCGGCCGGGTTTCTCGACTTGGAACCCAAGAGCGGGTTGCTGTTGGCATTCTCGCCGCCGGCGGCCTCCTCGGCCACGAACCCCGTGTTATCGTAATGGGAGCCATCGGTCCAGGTGTCGGTGAAGGAGTCACTCATGGGCAGCCGGTCAGGGCGCTGCGGCAGGTTCCCCGGGGGGACGGCCTCCCGCTGGCTGAGTAATGGCTTTGAGTCGAGAGGTTGCGGGAAAGACGGTGCAATCCTGCGAAGACAGGGGGGAGAAGTGTGAAGGTGGTACCTTGAAGTATGAAGAAAGGGAACAGGCAGCAGCCAAGCAGGCCACCGCCCTTTGTTGAACTGCCCATTCACCCACACCTCTCTCTTCTGGTGAAGACCTCACTATCATCTCACGTCTAAAAAATCCACCCTTTACCCTGTTCTGACTTTAATTTCTTCTTCCGAGTAATCAATAACTTCTGACATAATATATATTTTAGTTATCTATTATATTATGTACTATCTTGTGTTCTCTGCTAGGATATAAACTTATATAAACTTATGAGGGCAGAGATTTTTTTCTTCTTCAGGCCCAGCATTGTGGCTGACATAGAGTAGGTATTAAAAATATATTTCTTGAATGAATAAATGAACAAATGAATGAACGAACTATACAGATCTTTAGTAATGGTCTTGCAGCCTGTCTAATAATTAGAATCACCTAACTCCTGGTCCCAATTCCTAGAATTTCTGATTCAGGACATTTACAAACTATTGGTCCAGAGTACCTATTCTGTAAATGCTTGGTCTACCTAATAAACTCAACCTGTCTTCAAATAAAGTTTATTTGAAGGCCAGGTATTGGAAATAGTAAACCCACTGCATAAGGAATATACTAATGTATCTTTATCTAGAATGTAAATTGTATTGTGTTCTCTTCTACTCTATTATTATATTATACTAGAGGCCCGGTGCATGAATTCATGCATCAGTGGGGTCCCTTGGCCTTGCCAGTGGGGTTGGACCGAAGCTGACTCTCTAACATCCCCCGAGGGGTCCAGGATTGTGAGAGGGCACAGACCAGGCCAAGAGACACTACTAGAGCATAATTGGGGTCAGGGAGGGATGCGGGAGATTGGCTAACCAGGGAGGGACTGCGGGAGGGCCATAGGGTGTGTCTGGCCCATCTCACTCAGTTCCAATCATCAAGCTAACCTACTGGTCAGAGCATCTGCCCCCCCCTGATAGTCAGTGCATGTCACAGTGACTAGCTACTGGTTGGTTGACTGTCTGCTAGTGGTTAGTGCATGTCATAGTGAATGGTTGAGTTGCTTTAGCATATCATTAGCATGTTAAGCTTTGATTGGTTGAATGACTGACCAATCAACCAGACACTTAGCATATTAGGTTTTTATTATATGGGATGACTTTTGATCATTGATATGTTCATACCAGTGACCACAGTATGTCTAGAAGATGCTCATTTTTTAAAACCATTTGCACAATAATAATATTGAATTATATATCTTTAATCAGTGAGCAAAAGACTTTTAATGTTTTTCTAACAAAGTACTTAAATTAATCTCAGCTTATAGAAAAAATAATGAATTTATAAGTAATTAAGAGTTAATATTATCATGGCATCAGTGAATAGAAAGTTATTTATTAATTATCAAACAATTTATAGTCAAGAGTAGTGATATTATCAGTAAAATATAAATGAAAGTCATTGTTTAGTTATATCATATGATAATTTTTATTTGCTATTTATAGTGTAAAACAGCAACAAATTACAAAACAAGGTATCAGAACTGGGCAAATACTATCTCATTGAGTCACTTTATTGTGGTCTGTGGTTTTAGTTGTTTTCTTGTGTAAAATGGAGGTAATATAGAGTAGGATCCATTTTGAAAGATTAAATACATTCACTTATATTCTAACTTTTCCAGGTAGTGATAAAATGATGATGATGATGATAGAAATGAAAAATTTACTAAACATTTATTGGACATTATACTATGCATAGAAGGGCTTTAAATGCATCTCACTTTAATCCATAACACCATTATGGGTGGTGAAATGCCTATATAAATATAATAAGTATTGAGAAAAATTTTTGTTTAAAAATTTTTGTTCTATCATCTCAACCTCTTATTAATCCATAATCTCTTCCTTAAACAATGGCTTTGTTCTATAAAATGGGTTCAAGGTGCTCTTAGAAAACCCAGGGGCCTCCATTTACTTACCTGCCCCTTCTATTTTCTATGTCACTCATGTGCTGATACAATTCCAAAGTTAAGGTGATTTCATTTTAATAAATGGCTGAAGATAAGCATTTGGGAACAGAAAAGAAGGAATTCTGAAAACACACCTGTTACCCCACAAAGAATTATGCACTGCATCTTTAGCTGTTGGCTGCAAGGACCCCACTTTAACCCGGGCGTTAGAGGATCCTGAGGAGGCCTGGGAAGGCGAGTAGTCTGAGTAAGTGCCTGAGGAAACACTGTTATTCAGACAGTGAGTTTTGTCAACTTCAGACTCATCAGTTGATTCTGAAATGTAAAAGGAAAATATTATAATGCACAGAACACTGACAATTATAAACACAGAAAAGTAAGGATAAAAACACATAGCATATCCATGAATGTGAGAAGTATATAATTGTAAAATTTTTCTATAGACTATATGGTGTATCATAATTGACAACTGGTGATTCATCATGCACATGCATTGGTGGCGTATGTTACACATCAGGTTCACAGTGTTACCTTTTTTGTCCTTCCCTAGCAGAACAAGTTTGGGTGGGTACAGAGGGGTCTCAGCTAATGAAGGGTGAAGCTCCCCAATCCTCATATCATTAGCTGGATGAACAAAAGAATCCTGAGAGATATAATAATATAGGACAAGGAAAGTAAACATTGAAAACAATGGTTAACCAAGATGGCAATATCTTATTTGGTTCAGATTTAAAAAGATGGGGTTCTAAAACTTAAATCCCCATGGAGCACTGGGAGTAGTAAATCCTATGTATCTCTAAGGTAAGCCCTAATTTTTTTTTCTAATTTAAATGAGTACATTTATTCATCAGACAGTTGTTGAATGCTATTTATATGCCTGACACTGTGCAAAGAACTGTAGAGGTTCCAAAGAAAGACAAGATGTCACCCATACCACTGGGAATTCATAATCTAGTTTGGGAGGTGATATATAGCTCATTATAGCACAGGATTCAATGATAAGCCTTATATGAGTAATATGATACATATAATATAAGCCATGTAGGAGTTCTAAAGGGAAAATGTCGTAAGAGTTTTAAAAAGAAAGTGTATCACTGATTAACTGGAATTATTTTGAATCCTTAGCTATTTTAACACAAAACTGGGTCCTCTAAGTCTTGCTTTTACCACCAATCTCCCTTTCAATTCCTACTGTTTCCCAAGTGATCCCAGTTTCTTTCATTCTATCATACTTTGTTCCTAAGCTTTCTCATATCAGTCTAGCCTGCTAAATCTTCATTCTAAATCCACTCATTGAGTGTAATGAGCAACATTGGCTCGAGAATAAAACTTTATAATGACAATTTAACATGTAAAAAATCCATAAGTTTACAACTTCAGTAATTCAAATTATTGTTCCAAGGTAACCAGGTAGTAGTAGAAAATTAGAGAAGACAAAAATACCAAATTCTAACTTTTTTCTACATATAAAAAATGGCTTGCTTATGTATCTACTGATGTAAATTTATGCACAGCAGTTATGTTTATGTCTATTGTTCCTTAATCTTTAGGTTAATTTGAAAAAAAATAATTTTCAGATTTATTTTCATTTATTAGTACTTGCTAGTTTGGGACATTATAACATATTTGAAAATATTTTATTAATTCAGAGAAAGAATATACTTGAGGACAAAAATATAAAAAATGCGATGGGTCCTGTCTAATAATTTATCTGTGAATAATGATCAGTCGAAGCTCTTATTATAAACTAGAGGCCCAGTGCACGAAAATTCATGCACTCAGGGTGGGGTCCCTCAGCCCAGCCTGTGCCCTCTCACAGTCTGGGAGTCTTTTCGGGGGAGGAGTCTGACTGGCAGCTTAGGCCCACACCCTGGGGGATCGGGCTTAAGCTGGCAGTCAGACATCCCTCTGGCAGCCTGGGAGTCCTTGGGGGATGTCCGACTAATGGCTTAGGCCCCTGGGGAGCAGGCCTAAGCCATTAGTCAGACATCTTTAGTGCTGCTGCAGAGGCAGAAGAGGCTCCTGCTATGTCTGCTGTGCTGGTCAGCCATGAGCTGGCTTCTGGCTGAGTGGTGCTCCCCCTGTGGAAGCACACTGACCACCAGGAGCAGCTCCTGCATTGAGTGTCTGCCCCCTGGCGGTCAGTGTGCATCATAGTGACCAATTGTTTCTCCAGTGTTGGTGTTCCACCTTTAGGGTTAATTTACACATTACCCTTTTATTATATAGGATGTTAAGGTTTCCATAGTGACAGGCTTAGGATATTGCAGAGAAACATCCGTTTCTTTACATCTTGGCTTAAGTTCTATTTTTTGGCTTGTTTTTGGTTAGGTTGCTATGGGAATATTTGCCTGTGAAAAACCTGGGTATATTTGATTCTTTAGTTTTTGTGTTTAAAGATTATTTTAGGGGAAGAAGACTGAAGATCATCTAGTTGATCTTTTCATTTCATTTCCTAGAGGTGGATTCTGAGACTCAGTAAGGTTGACATAGATAGACAAAAGTCCAGTATGGAGGCATGATTATACTGGGCTCTAGTCCAATCATCTCCATGAATATTGTGCTGCTTCCTGGTGAGCTCAGCTGGAAGAATATCAGACACTTCAAATGCAGTATCAGATTTGAAGAGGGATAGGAAAGAGAATGGCATTGATGAAAATACTGAGATGAAGAGGAAATTTTGTGGTTTTGTATATTTTGAAAATTATTTCAAAGAAATTTATGACAAAATTTTAAGTTGGAAGAACAGAGAGTAAAAATTTACACATCTTTGGAGAAATTTATAAGTAGAAACAGATGAAAGTTTGGTAAGTGGTATCATGAAAGGCATAAAATATATAGACTTTCAAAAAAGTGTCAGTTACAAGGTGCCTATTTCTATTTTATTCCCGCTTTACCATTTGACCAGGTTACCTTGGGAAAGTAAGTGTAACTCTCTAGATTTTGTTTGATTCGTCAACAAAATGAAGGTAATTGAAAATAAGAAATAGTGCAACTTTCTGTCTAGTACTAATATTTTGTAAACATAACTATAACTTATTTGTTGAAATAATATTAAATTATTTATTATAATATGACATTTAATATTGAAGTATAGGCCTTTTGCTTTAGTCAAAATAACAAACCAAATAGTTGTACAATGCAGAAATGTAAATATAATAAAGGGTTTTACTATTTTTTTCTTATTATGCCTTGACAGTCAATAATTATATGTTTAGATCAAACTTTCACACTTATACCTCAGCTGGTTCCTAGATGGCTATCTTCTCTCTGTGACATGACATGATGGATGGAAGGGACTAGGGAGCAATCTGGGTCTCTTTTATAATCTCATTAACAAGAGCTCTACCCTTACTAATCACCTACCAAAGACCCCACCTCCAAATACCATCACATAGGTTTTAACATATTAATTTTTGTGGAGAAAAAAAAAATTTAGTTTGTAGCACCAGCTCTTTACAGAGCTAGAAATTCTCATTTTAAAAATTTCAGGATAAAGATTATTACCTCAGCAGAAAGGCCTGATCAATAGGACCCTCTGATCACCCTACTTATTTGCATTAAATATAATAAAACATTTATTATTATTTAATTTATTAATTGCAGACTGTGAGTTTCATGAAGACAGGGACCATGTCTGTTTTGTCCACTATTGTCCACCCAATGTCCAGCACAATGCCTACTATAGAGGAGGGACACAATAAATATCTGTTGAGTAAATGAATGACTAATATGGTCTAGTGTTGTAACCCTGGTAACATGTTTTCATTAGAATGCCAAGACAATTTCTCTGAAATTTTCATGAATGAAGTGTTGGCTTCCTACATGTACACATTTTATCACCTGTTTATTGAATCAAATGTATTTTCACAACATCATTCTACTATATGGTCAATAAAATAAAATACTTCTTAACTCTGATGATCTAATACATTATATTAGGGATATTAATACATTAATATAATATTGAGTGAAGTTAAAATATAGTGATGGAGGATATTGTGGAGTGAGGAAGGCAGAGACAGAAGAGATAAGGAAGGAGGGAGAGGAGTATAGTGAATAAAGCTCTGACATAAAACAATTAAAGCCCAGAAGTTCCTAAATTCTTGGTATAGAAATACCTTTGGTGTCTTAATAATCTTGATACATGGACCCTAGACTAAAGAAACACCTAACAATCTCATTTATTAAATAATTAGATGTAAACTTGTATATATGTTTATGACTACTTTGTGATAATTTAAAAACAATATACATGAATTTAAAAAGAACATAATATTTTTACTTTACTTTTAAATAACCAAAACTACTTATTAATGGAATGTATGCACCTATTGGACACCACATCTACCTTCTCCAACCTTGGAATCATATTAGATACTACCTCTCTAATTTCTGTTTCACATTGATTTTCTGGGGACACTTGGTGTTTGATCACAGCAACTGCTTCAAGTAACTTTGTTACTGATTGGCAATGATTGCTTATATCTCTAATTTCTTAGAGTATTACATTCTCCATCACACAAGTAACCATATTTCATATTATATATTCTCTATTTACTTCATCTTGGTTAAGTTTACATGGCAAGGCCTTAAATTAATTGTAGACTATGCACACATTTTATATTTCTTCTTTCTCTCACAGTGTTTAGCACAGTGCTAAATATACAGTTGGTGTTTAATCAATGCAACAAATTGATGCTCTGAATTGCAGATTTGTAAAAGAGTTTCACCAATCTAGATTTTAGAGAAATAGGTATAGTAACTTCTAGATGTCTTCATAAAAATTAAGTATCTAATGAAGATAAAAAAGTGATAAGCAAATTATCTGAAGTGTTGATGAGATAGTGCAGAGGTGGCATACATGTAGTTGAATTCTTTTCAGACCAAACAAATTGATAAGGATGAATATCTAATTAATTCAAAATATGGGACTTAAACTCACATGACTTGATTGAAAAAAGCTAAATTTCAAAGTTATCTCCCCCCTTTTTGTTGTTTATAGTAGTGTTTCCTAGAAGATTGTAACCTAAACACAAAAATATTTGAAAAAAAAAATTTGGCTCTAAATTTGATCAGGAATTTTACTGAGATTTGCAGAATAAAAAAAAATCTTCAGTTGGTCTCTTCTAATGACTCATACAAGAAAAGTTTGAGGTTGCCAAAAGACTAACATGAAAATGATTTAATGCATGCACTGGCTGGGTGAGCAAATTATTTTTCTGTGTATATTGGAACTTTTGGAGCTGTATTAATGCTTTTAGGCCATGGGGGTATCACTTATCTGTGATTTATTAACTGCAACTCTCATAGTTTGAAAGGGTAGAGAGACTCAATTTATATTTTGGGAAACAAAATGCACTTTTTAAGGAAGATCTATTCAGTTAAAAAAAGAAACATATGCAGGATTTAGTAATTCCAAAAAATCCAAACCACACTGGCAATTACCAATAACCTTGAAATACCTCCATTGTAATCTCCTTTGGGGCTACAGGCCACTTGTGTTCATATTTTTCTTTCACAGTTTGCTCCGTGTTAGCAGTTGGATTTGAATTCTCAATACGTACTCCATGGCTTGGCTTACCCACCAGATTTTGAACAGATTTTACCATATTCTTTAAATCCTCTGGGTAAGGAGTTGGATATCGTTTTAGGTTTATTTCAACCTAGAAGTTTATAAAAAGAAATTTAATATCAAAATACCTTCAGCAAGCATGTTCACAAAACTACTCCACTTTATGGGCAGTAGTAGAACCAAATGCCGTATAGTGAGTGCTGAGCTGGCTGAGAAACTGCTCTGTAGAGTAGAACACTTAGTGCTCTTCTCTGCCTGTGGGATTTCTTCCCACCTCTGCCCACCCTTGTAGGTTCAATACAATTTTTTGGATAATATGCTATCTTTAGATTTACCCTATAATGGTTGAAATAGCAGTATATCCAACACTTACATGACAGTTAATATCTGAAAAATGTAATTGTGACTATTATTTGGTTTTATATTTTCTTGAGAGGCTGTTCTTTTCCCTACATGAATTATTTATAAGTAATTATTTTGATATTAAAAATGTCCATGCAGGTGATGAAGGAGGGGACAATATCTGCTACCCAAATACATTTCAGCTTTCTGTTAATTGGTATGTTACATCAAAAGGTAGGGTAGCTAATTCTTGTTAATGTTTAAGAAAACACATTTCAGGGTGTTTAAATTTAATTTAAATTAAGTTTAATTTAAATTTAATTTTTACCCTAATAAAGTAATACGCTTTGCAGATAATGTCTTACACTAAAGAGAAGTTAAAAGTTGTGAACATTTTCTAAGACATTCTAGGCAAATGTAAAGTTTGGCTTATGTTTATCCCGATATTATTTCTATACTTGAACTCCTTTTTGGTGTGCTGACTTTAGTAACATATATTAATGATTATTTTCCCCATTTAACTTAGAGAGAGAAAATATAAGATATTCCATGCAGGACATTGAAACATCAGAGTACTTGCATGGAATAGATTTAAACTGTTCATGCTGATTAAAAGGGAGTGGGAGGAAAAATAATGGGCAGATTTACTTGGCCAGGCTCGTTCCAAAAATCATGCCGTTTTGTATCTGAGTAGAACCAACTTTACAAAATGGAATGGTTTATGTGATTGTGGCGAGTATGTGTCTGTGGAAAGTGTGTGGAGGTGAGGAGGAGCAAGTGGAAGAGAAGCCGAGGAGGAAGAGTGGGAATGAGAGAGAGAAAAAGAAAGAGGGAAGGGCACAAGTGTATACACCCCACACACCCATGTAATTCATGGGATGTAAGAAACCATGGTGGTGGTATAGATCTGAGGAGTATGAATATGAACTTAAACACTTTTGCTTATCTGCAGTTTTAGAAAATCCACCAACTTTGTTATTTTAGTGTTTTGTTTTTCTTGTGGCTCATTTTCCTTCTCAAATATTGCCATTGGATGATTTCTAACATTTCTTTCAGTAAAAAATACAAAATTGTTTTCCCAATACATTTTTGGAAAGCTGATGAAAAAAACAGATAATGTTGCTAGTGTATGTATTTTTTTAAATGTAACTTAATCTCTTATACTCCCAAATAAACAAGGATGGCATTAATAATATATAGAAATAAAGTTATAAAAGTATAACTAAAAAAGTTTGACTTTATAGAAAAAGGGTAAGTTGTTAAAGTGTAATATAAATATATCCCAGGGCACTTAATTTATAATGCATTCTTAAATAAACATAAAATGCATGATATCAATGCTAGACAAGGTCTATTGGGATGCGCGCATCTTGGGTCTTCTGTTAAAATGTAGTAGGAATGTTAATCACAATTTAAATCTAAGATTTAAATTTTATTGTTGAACTTGTTTAAAAACACTTGATATCCAAGGACTAAAAACCAAATACTACATTTAAAAATGTAAAGTATATAATGGTACAACTATAATGCCAATTAGAAACATCTTTTAATTTTTAATAATTAGCAACATATGAGTGAAAAATGTTCTCAAGTAGGACACTAAGTTAAAATTTTGTGTTCCTTAAAATATCCTCAATGCTGAAATTGCACTTCTAATTAAATCAAAGGCAAAAAATGTGACGCATTCTTCTTTAATTGAATTAAATACTTCACTGAATAATGTAATATATTTTTGTAGATGCGATGTCCCATCTGACACAATTATATATATGGCTATTTACTAATGGCTATCGTGCCAATATTTTCTGTTTATAAACAAATTAATGTGATATTTTGGTCACATCACCAGAATATGTTTGAATATTTCATCTCTATAAATATTTTAAAATGTAGAAACAGAAGTGGATTTACCATGAAGTTAATGAAGCTTAGCTTTAGGGCCTGTAGCTTGCATGGGTTCCTTCTAAAGCCTTGTAAGAGGCCCTACTTATGTATTTACACAGTTATTTTATATTCTTTTCCTTAAAGAGTCCCCTCTCAAAACTGTGGAAACTTCAGGTCTCATAAAACTTAGATTTGTTTTACCTATACAATAAGCTCCTTGCTTTCCATTTATTAGTCTACCAGCAGAACTTACTGGACTTAGTCTAAAAACTTAAATTTAAGCCAGAATCACCCCGCCCAACTATCAATTTCTACTTATATAATACTAGAGGCCCAGCGCACAAAATTGGTACATAGGTAAGGTCCCTAGTGGCTGCCAGCCTGGGCCTTCCTTTGTTCTGTGCCACCCCCTGGTGGTCAGTGCACATCATAGCGAGCGATGGAACTTCCAATTGGTAGAACTCCCGCGGGGACACTTTGAATATTAGGCTTTTTATATATATAGTTGGGAGTGATAATGTCTCTCCCACAAGCTTGTATTAATCTGGAGCTAACATGAGGTAATAAATGTGATAGTCCTTTGAAAATGTATAAATTCTATGCAGAGATTAGATACTGTTTATAATATATTGTATTTATGTATTTTTAAAATCTGGATTCCTTTGGCAATATAGTTTCTACTATATATGTCTACCTGCAGTAGTATGACTGTCTGAATGATTTTTTTTCAGATTGCATGCAGCAACATTATCATTTATTTAGTATTTGCCATGTTTTAGGCACCAGGCAAATGTTTTATAAGGATATTTAACTTATTATTAGCTATTCATGTAATAATACACATTTAATTATTTCTAATTTTCAATATAAATATTAAATTATTAATTGTTAATTAATAATTATAAATTACAATTAAATCTCATTTAAATTTCACAATTCATTATAGCATCTATTCCCATTTAATGGAAAAAACAAAAACAAAAACCAGGGTTTAGACAATGTAAGTTACTTGCCCAAGATCACATTGCTAGTAGGTAGCAAAGCCCAAATTCAAACTCAGGCCTTTCACTCCAAAGTTTATGCTACACAAGTATTACTTGACTTAGAGCTATTCTCTGATACAGGTGTAGCACATATTTGTACTCTCTTATGGAAGAAATACTATAAGTCTAAAATGTTAATTTTATTGAGTTAAATAACATAATTTCAATTTTTTACAACATGAAGCTAACATAATAGTTTATAATTTATTTTTAAATTAAACTATAATTTTATAATTTTGTTTTATTTTGCAAGCTCTGTAAAAGCATATTTTATCCCATTTCCTAGATTGTTTTTCCTTTCTACTCTTCAACTCATGTGTGCTGTGCTTCAGAAATGGACATACATGATCATAAACACAATTATATTAATAGGTCAGCACTGCCCAAATACAAAAGCAGTTTCTTTATATTTCTAAATATTTAGACTAGGAATATTCCTTTATTCTAATATGGGATGAATATATATATAAATTCACTTATTATACACATAGGTGAGAAAAATCTGTCAATTATGCTCTTACCAAAATGTTGTGTATATCACTCACCATAAAGTATTTGCTCATTTCACTTATACATTTTACTAAAAGGCAAACTTTTTTTTTTTACTGAAATGTTATTTTATTTTAAGTTTAGAAAATAGAAGCTTTTCATAAAATTCTATATACCTTAGATCTAAATAAAGTGCAGTAAATCCAAATAGCAGCTGCAAGATGTTGGAGACTCCCCAAAATTTAGCAATGAAGAAAGAATTAGTATTAATAGCTAGGGCATTTAGAAGTGACACTTGAATTCACACAGAACTGTTGTTTTCTTATATAATGATTAAATTCTATTTTGACTTGGTTGTAAATTCCAGTAAGAGAAATAATAGTTAATGCTTTGATCATTAATTGTTAAGTATCTTATTCTAGGAATTAGAACATTTTACACACAAAGAAAACATATAGTAGTTTTAGTTAGGAAAATGCATTCTTAGCTTGCCTTATATTGCAGAAAGAATATAAGACAATAAGAGTCTAGTCCATTACATGTGGATGGTCAAGTGAAAAATGCGGTGTTCTTTCACATCCCATCAAGACGTTTCCCCTCCCATTAAATTGTTGAACTCAAACCACAGAAGTAAAAAAACAAACAAAAACAAAACCCTGTTTGCCACAACTCCCAAACCAATCTTCTCTTACAGGAATTCTCATCATCTGTGCCTTCAAATTAAAGGTAAATTGATGCTTTTCAAAAGGTGCCATCTTTGTGCTTAGAGTTCACTCTCAGGAAATCTCAATTTAAGTCTCAATTTATTTTAAGAATCAAGTTTAGTTATTTAATCTCCCCCAGAATTAATATATATATATATATATATATATATATATATATATATATTTTTTTTTTTTTAATGTATGTATGTGTGAGGACAATTTAGATTTTTCTCAATAGTGTCATCAACATTCTGCTTGACTATTGGTATTCCCACACTTTAAATAAAAGCAAGTCTTTAAAAATAAAAACATAAATAAAAAAATGAAGCACCCACCTCAAAAACCATGCCAGTTATCCCCCCATTAGGCACTTCATATTATTCCCTCCCCTCTGACTCAGGTCTCCCCGCCCCATTGCCAATGTCAGTGAACAAAAATTAAACGGGGATCAAACATTGGCAGTTGGTAAGTTTCTACGATCAACATTTCTTACCCAAAACCATGCAGAACAAATCCCTTAAACCCTGTTCCAAGGCTGCCTTTACATGGGAGGTTCTCCTACCCCAGACACCTAGGCCTACCTGTCTGCCACTTAGAGAGGGAAGAGTGGTGGACTGTGCTGCAACTGGCAATGGAGTGCACATGCTCCTTTCCTGCTGGAGGCCACTTATACAACCCCATGCCAGCTGTGGGTCATTCTGGGGGACGGGCATATCTTGGATCTGCTGATCACACCTGGCCCATGGTGTGCAGCAATCGCCAGACAGCCTGGCAGGTTGGAGAGTAATCCCACGCTGGCCCCTTTCCCAGGGGGCTTGGCAGGAGTGATCCTGTGGGAGAAGGAATCTCCATTTTCTGGGAGAAAGAGGAGCACTAGCAATACTTTCACTTTATCATTTTTCTACTCTTGATTTTTTTTTTTTCATTCTGGGTAAATGCATTTAAAATAACCATCAGAAAATTACTTTTAATTCCTGTAATAAAATGGTACCAATATCATATGAAGCTAAAGTGTTGCAATTTCTTCACACAATGCAGCATTCGTATTACACTGTACACACTATAATTAGGGCATTATACTCGAGTCCATTTGGAAGTTGGTGGCATAGGAAACTGGTTCCTTTTTAAATTTTATGTAAATTAAAGGCAAAATTGTGCTAAGTTGAATGTACATGTAATGAACCAGAAAAGCGTGAGTTAGTTTAAAAGTTCAGTATATTCCATACATCATATTTCTATGATGATTTATTTAGAAGTTTGTTTGTGTTCTAATTTGTCTAATTGCCAATGAATGGCATTGGAAATATTCAAATTAGTCAAAGTAAAGAATATTGAGATTTAGGAAACACATATGGCTTTACCAAAATAGAAATAAACCAAATATAAATGAACATGGAGAAAAATACACTCTAAAAGGTAGGGGAGAGGGGATAAAGGGGAAGGATCAACCAAAGCACTTGTGTGCATGCATATGAGCCTAACCAGTGTTCATGGACAACTGAGGGGTGGGAGCATGCGTGGGGAGGGGTTTGGGATGGGAATGGGGGGATGAGGACAAATATGTGATACCTTAATCAATAAAGAAATTAAAATAAATAAATAAATAAATAACACAAGAAAACAAATAAAATATAACGCATTTACTCTGATTATAAACAGACCTGAGCACATAACACACAAACAGGGCTTCTAAATAATAGTTTGCATTGACTATGTTTTATGTTTTCATTGTCACATATATCAGAATATATTAAATATACTATTTTCCTCTTGGAGCCTTTGAATATAGATTTTTTGGAAGAAGTGTATGGTTGTTGTTTTTTTTACATTTGGTGTAGCAAAACAATGAATCAAAGGTCCAGTATAGAATGCATCACCCATAGGTTCTGGATCTAACATATAAAATCCTTAAAAATGTTTCTAAAGGTTTTTGTTTATTTTTAGTTTGGTATTTTTTCCTAGAAATTCATAATAAAAATGTCTCTGGTTCTTAGCACTAATTAACAACCCAGAAACATTTTTAAACTCAGATTTTTAACAGAATTATCATTTTGATTTGGAAATCCATATAGATATGATTTGTCAATTTACCTTACTGTCTAATTTTAATAAGGTTTTGAAGTGTGTTGGTTTTAAAAAAAAGTTTATAAAATGTGGAGAGGACAGAAAAGAACACATTATACAATCTAGATCTACTAATAGAATAACTATACAATTACCTAGGACATTAGTACCCATAATAAAAAAGTGTACAAATAATGCCATAAAAATAATGAGAGATTCAAGATGTTGCTACAATGATAATATAAAGATCTGATATAGATAAAATCTATATCAATTCTAAATCTTTTTAAAGTTAATGAAAAATATATGTTTTAAAATTCAACCTTGCTACTTAACTTAGATTGGTTCCAATAAAAGATTTTAAAAAATATGTTAACGAGTTAAAAAAAATTGAAGTATTTTCTCTAAGGAACATCACCTGTTATTAGCCCTCACCTCCTTTAAGACTTGTCCTCACACTTAAAGAAAACTCACCAATTCTTCTCAAATATCCCAGTAACATAGACTCTTTCAGAGATTTTAATACCAATGTACTATATTCATCCATTAGCTTTTCAATAAGTGTATAATTTTGTTTCAACAGACTGCATAATGTTTTGTTCAGTGATGAAAAAAAACAACATTTCAGTGTTTCAAAGGATATATAATACTTAGAAAAAGCCCAACACCCAGATTTTTTCCCCTCAGTTTTTTCTCACCTTGAATCTCTTTCATGTTTTGTAAGATGGGGTGGCCTATCAAATGTGCTCAGTCATAACTAGGAAATTAGTCTCGTTCTCAAGCAAAACAATGTTTTCAAAATTACCATTCTGCTCTAATGAAAGGTACCACCCTGAGACTTAAAGATGTATCTGACCATCTAGCAGGAGTTACTCCATTTGTTTCAAAATCTATTTGAATAAGAACATTGAACAAGCAAAAGTAATGAGAAGGAAGGAGAAACAACAACTAAAAGTTCACCTTAACTTTCCCAGCATTATCGTCATCTTCCTTTTTGTCTTCAAATTCAAAGGCAACAGTCATGCGTTGTTGTCTCTGCTCTTCCCACAGTGTCGGGTTAAAGCTGTCACTGTCTGACTGGAAATCTAGTTAAATTCCAAAAGATTATTGCTTATTTTTACATAAAATGTTTTTAATAGCTCTCAGTACATTATGCAAACAATGGCGATAGGTACTACAAAGAAATGCAAAATATTTTTAAAGGGAAAAAACAAAGAAAAAAAAAGGATATAAAGAGATAAATGAAAAAAAAAGAAAAAGAGGAGGAAATGAGAATAAAATTCTCTTGATATTTGTTGCATGGTCTTTTTTTTAAATATATATATATATATATATATATATATATATATATATATATATATTGATTTCAGAGAAGAAGGGAGAGGGAGAGAAAGATACAAACATCAATGATGAGAGAAAACCATTGAGTAGCTGCCTCTTGTACACCCTCTACTAGGGATCAAGTTGGCAACCTGGACATGTGCCCTTGACCAGAATCGAACCTGGGACTCTTCAGTCTGCAGGCCAATGCTCTATCCACTGAGCCAAACCAGCTAGGGCAGTCTTCTAACATCTTAACACAATTCAGGTTTCCTAAGTATACATTAATTATATATTGAGGTTGGGAAGTTTCCAGTGTAGAGAATGAGCTCCTCATAGGACAAAAATAATAGAGAATTGGACTAAACATTTTAAAATATCTCTTTTAATCCTCACCTGAGGACTGATAGGAGAGAGGAGAGAGAGAGATAGAGATAGAGATAGATAGATAGATAGAGCGAGCGAGAAAGAGAGAGAGGCATCAATTGGTTGCCTTCAGATTCCCAGGTATGTGCCCAGACCTGGAATCGAACCAGCAAGCTTTCAGTGTACAGGATGAGGCTCAACAAACTGAACCACATGGGCCAGGCTTATCTTTTTAACCTTCACAACAGCACAATAGTAGTAGTAACATCACCCTCAATTTACTAACGAGAATTTTAAGACCTGCTCAAAGTCATGCAGTTTCTCTGTGGTGTATACAGATTCTGTTCCATGTTTGTGTAATTACAAAGCTCATATTTGTAACTACTAATCTATTGTATGTCAGGATTTTATAAAAGATACTAACTATATAACCATGGTTTTGTAAAGTGTCTAAGATTGCACCGTTGTGTGTGTTGGGGCGGTGGAGAGGATAAGGTGGGGTCGGGGTAATGGAAGGGAGTTTATTTTTAGGGTAACAAACGTGAAAAATTTAGTCTTTAACATGAAGGTCTAAATATGTTTCAACTTAGGTTGAAAATAAATGGCTTATAAATCTTTACATCAAATTGTTGACTAATGATAATATTTTGTTTTTTGTTGCAAAGGATTATGACAATTCACTTAATAAACTTCTGCCTGAAAAATCAGAAGGTGAGTTCCTTAAAGTTCAAGAAAATTGTTCTAATACTAACTCTTCTTTCCAAAGGAAACCAAAGAAAAACAAGGCTAATTCCTTAACGTCATCTTACCTAACTAGATCTACCTCACTCCCTGTAACAAATTAGAGATTTAATCTGTGAAACTGGATCTCAGGAATAACCAGTGAATATAAGGCAGTTTCATTTTTCTTTACATCTTTTTTTAAGAGAAATATTTTGACAACATAGGGATATTAAAATGTAAATATAAGTAAAGGTAGATGTATACAACATAATTCTCATAAAAGTCTTTTCTTTTACCATCTATAAACACAGTGGCTTTTCTTTCATAAATTCAAAAGATAAATTTTATTGAAGTCTGAAAAATGCATATTAAAATGACTCGTTTCTTATCCTTCTTCTGTAAGTCAAATATGAATTAAAATATCCTAAAATATTCCAAAATGGTTCATCCCAATGTTCATATATCAAAGACTACATATAGTCCTCATAATTATCCCTGATGATGAGAAATACATATACCAATAATTTATTTTAAAAGTTAGTCTCATTAAAGTGGATTGAGTGAACTTAACTGACTGGTGGATTAAAGTGGATTTACTCTATTAGGAATGACAGTGACAATAAGACTAGAAAATGTTCAGGAAAGCCTATGCTGTCTTGGGCTAAGTGGCCTATACTGAGTTCCAAATTTTAAAGGGCAATACTGTCTTAAACATTGTATGAATAATGTGGCCATAGGATAGAATATTTAATTATTGGAAAAGATTTAGGTTTTTTAAAAAGTAATCCTATCATAGTTGCTGATGTTGTTTAGGGGAAACTCAACTTGAAAAAGACAGAACAGTCATTGTTTGCAGGTCATTTTTTTATGGTTGACCCTTAACATGAAATAATTTGGGGCCTTGGATCATTGGATTAAATATTTTAAATTTCATTCATGAAATTAGTGAACACAGGAATTAAACTAGCTTTCTGAATTTTCCTTAAAATCTGACTCTTTTTCACTCATTTCAATGAGCTGGGTACCACATTTGGGCAACTAATCCTTGTAATCCACAAAGAGAAGAAGTTGATCCTGAAAGTTAACATTCTTATGAAAAAGAGAGTTATGTTTTTGGAATCTTACTTAAAATATTATAATGTGAAGATAAGATTCATACTTAATAGTTAACCTCTAAATGATTGATGTAAGTCATGTAATTATCTTTATAGCCTTGCCCACATGTTAGTATTCCTGGCCAAAGATCAGAAGAAAATGATTCTCTTGGGTCCATTATTATATAAGTTTGGGAGACATTTCTGCTGACAATTTACCTTCATCACCACGAGGTTGCTGGGGAAACATGTAGTTAGTCAACACTCTTTGCTTTGTTTCTGGATGGGCTTCAGTTTGTAAAGGGATAAGGGCTTTGGACTGGAAGCAAAAAAACATATAAATTAGATCAATAAGCTAGCAAATACGAAGAATATTTATTTTATGATCAATAAATGAAAATGATCAATAGTCTGGACTCACCAAGCTAAATGAAAAGTTAAAAGAAAGGCAAGGAAAAAGAAATGAACGTAGAAATTATAACATAAACTAAGATTATTGCTAGGGAATATTTTCAAATTCTAAATTATTCATGATGAAATTTTCTTTTTCTCAAGTATACTCTTTTATAAAATTATCCATTCTCACTGAGCAATGTCAGTTTCTATCCTGAAGAGACCAAAAAATGTATTAAATTTTTTAAACTAAGTAAGCTTTTGGTATGGCTCTATATATCCATTTATTTTCATAAGCTGTTGTCCAAAAAGCACCAAATGAAATTTGCTATCAAATTCAAGCTATGCAAGATAATAAATGAAATTAATTATGTTAAAGCATTATGCATTTATATTTAAGAGCTATTTTGTAACCAAACACAGGGTCTGCACACAGATAAGCAACAGTACTTGTATTTTATATATCATAATATAATGACCTATGGATGGTAATATGTAATTCTTTATTAATTAATTTTATTTCAAAAATGCTATTTTAAAGGAGTTTTTAGAACTCTGATATTACATATTACTAGAGGCCCAATGCACGGGATGGGACTGGGTGAGATGGGCCAGACATGCCTTGGAGCTAACCTTCCATGGTCCCTCCCTGGCCAGCCACACCTGGAGTGGTGCCAGGGCTTGAAGGGCAGCTGTAGAGTGAATGCAGACCCTTTGGCAGCTGGGGTCCCTTGGCTTGTCCTGTGGGGATCAGGCTGAAACTGACAGTCTGACATCCTCTGAGGGGTCCCGGAGTGCAAGAGGGCACTCTGCAAAGTTGCTGTCATTTGGCAACTCCTGTGTTGAGCATCTGCCCCCTGGTGGTCAGTCATACCTACCTTCAAGTTGCTTAGCCTTTTATATAGTACACTGAATGGTTAGATTATAATGATCTCTGAATGCATAATAATCTGGCCACTCAGTATAATAATCTCTGAATGCATAATAAATCTGGCCACTCAGTATATATATATATATATATATATATATATATATATATATACACACACACACACACACACACACACACACACACATATATATATATATCACACACACACACACACACACACACACACACACACACACACATATATATATATATATAATATTAGAGGCCTGGTGCATGAATTCACACATGGGTGGGGTCTGGCCAGCCTGGACAGGGGGAGGGGACATGGGCTGTTGGCTAGCCTGCCTGCTGATTGAACTCCTGGTTGAGGAGGCAATTTGCATATTAGCATTTTATTATATAGGATATACAATGGGTAGCCAGATTATTATGTGTCCAGAGATCATAATAATCTGGCCACGCAGTGTATATACTGGTGGCCTGGAACACAGATTAGTGCATATTGAAAGGAAGTTAGTTAGAAGAAATATTTTAATCTCACTATTCACCCGTCCTCTATAATACGAGTTTCAACCAAGTTCACGATAGACAATGACAGATCAAAACACACACATGCAATTGGCATCAGTGAGAGCTTTATATGTATCATACATGCGTGAGTCAATTTAGCCATATATATATAAAATTTGCTTATTTAGGCATACTTCCTGATTTAGCTAAACTTTTTCCTGTCCAGTGAAGCACTCCAACTTCTCTTTCAAGTAATTGTTAGCAACACAGCAATAAATATCAACACAAAGCAGATTATTATTGTAGATCACGCAGGAAGAACAAAGGGTAAAAATTTAACTGTAGCAGTGTTTGACTATATTCTGTGCAGTGGGAAAACCTGAAGTCATTTTCAGGGTCCACCATTTCTTTCTACTTTTCAGTCAGGTCAAGTTTCTAAACTTTCTAAGTCTCTGTTTTCCGGCTAGTGAAAAGAAAATAAGATTCTACCGAGTCTCCTACCTACCTACTCCAGGACCTCTGTGAGGATCAAATGAGATGAGGTATGGGAAAATGCTTCACAGATATTTGGTTAAAGTATAAAATGTTTGCATCTGGCTATAAAGCAAATCATGTTCCTAGGCTGAAGAAACTGCAAGGAGGATAGTTGCTAGTGAGAGGAAGCTGGGCGTTCCTATGTGATATCATTACCCAGCACCCACAGCAACCATTTCCGGGCTGGGCTGGCCTGTGGGCTACATTTTGCACCATGGGGTCTTGACAGCATTGGCTGTAATTTGGTGGGGTGTCACTCCAAAATGGTGGTGGGGCCTGTGTCCTACTTGGGGGAAGCTGAGTGTTGTTTTTTTAGTGCCAGGTTTAAGGTACTGTTTCCTTTTAAATGGCCAATGCGTCATGGCAGCACCTCATCGAACATCTGCCTCCTGGTGGTCAGTGCATATCATAGCAACTGGTTAGATGGTCAGAGGGACACAACATATTAACCTTTTGTACATATAGATATCTATGGAAATTATCATTTTATCTAATGTCTTAAAATTGGGTTATTTAATGACATTTATTAATAGGAACGAGGCACAAAGGGATTTGGGATATCAACTTGTCTCATGAGACTGAATCAGAAACACATTAAATCACTGTTCTAAATAAAAATTAAATGATGTAGTCACTGTTGTGTTTATTCTCCCACAAGAATAATGAATAATGATTATTAGGGGATTTTTTTTTCCCACAAAGCAAGACTGAATAGACTGTTCCATTACCATAATCCACATTGGTTCCAGAAATGCTTTATTTATAATGACATACTGATGCCTTGAAAGATCTGTAGTTCATTGATAAGATTTGAATTTGAATTATAATTTAAATTTTTAGTCAGTAAATGGAAGCAAGTTCTGAAATAACCATAGAAACACAAACATTATTCTTAAACTTACATTCTACACTTTGTAAAGGTTTATTTTAAATTTTCACAAAAGTAGCCCAATACCTAGAACTCTCAACAATGCTCTTTTCACGCTCAAGAAATGATGACAAACTAAATTCAACATGGTTTTTTCCCCCCACTTGGCTATTTGTATTTTGGGATAGGTGTTTCAAAATTTTAGGATTATAAGAAAAGAATAAAAGAGGACTAATAAACAATGTCAAAATTGTCTATCATCAATTTTTTTCTGGTGAAAAATCAGATGTCTTCAACTGTTTCTTGTTACTTTCCAGTTAATAAAATTATCATCAATTATAATCTAACTTCATAAGAAAAAAATAATATCAAAGCAATTTTACAGAAAATACTGATAATAGTTGAAAAAGATACCTGCAAATTTCTTGAAGAAAGTTCTAGAAATAAGTTTATTATAATTAAAAATATGAGGAAAAACGAATTTGGAGGGCAATAATTCCCTGTTGTGGGAATTGTGGTAATAATTTCTTATTCTTTACCTTCAGAGGTATAATTAAAGTATGTCCTCTAAGGACATATATGAATCATCTAGAGCTAAAATGCCATAAAAATTATCATTTTGTATATTAGATCTCTGAGAATGAAATAGCTACTAAATTGAAGCATTAAAAGAGGTTAGGAGTTATAGTTCTATTTTGTGTGCAGCAATGAAATACATATTTGAATTGCTACCTTTATACAAATCTCTCGTCCAGAGGATAAAGAATCTATATTTTATACTAATTGTCAGAGGTATCTATCGTTAAAAAAGTTAATAATTCAAAGTTTCAATTATAGTTCATCTTAATAAATAAAAGTTGTTACCTGATTGTCAGAAAGCCACAAAGCTGCAAGGTCTTTAAGTTTGGTAAATGAGAATGGTAAATTCTTCAACCTGCAAAAAACAAGAAATTAGCCTAATAACTTTAGGAAGAATATAATAACTTTTCTGAGATTATTAATATTTATAAAACATAAATAATGTAAAGAATATACTAATTTATATTATAATTCTTTTAATAGACTTGTTATACTAACATTTATAACATTAACCCAAATTACACATAAAAGCTAGTATTTCCAATTTTTAGTTATTTAATTTCATGTAAGCCAGATACTATTAAGTAAGGTTTTATGGGGAGAATTTTTGCATCATGTGTCAATGAATTAAAAGTAGAATATAAAGCCAGCTGCATCAATATTACATGAGGGGAAAACTCTCTAGTATAATATACGACAACATCTATAATAAATCATCATCAATCCAGCTATAAATATGGAGGATGGAAAATGTTAGTGAAGGATATTACCCCCATTTTTGCTTGCTCTTTCAGTTGTTGAAAGTAAGCTTTTATTTAGTACAACAGAAGCTGTCTTACAAATCTATTTTATAATAGATTTTTAAAAAATTGTACATTTTAAATGTTGAACTGGAACAATTGTGACTTTTGGATAACATTCCATATTTAATATTTTATCTAAGCAGTTAATTTTCTGATGACAATGTTCAACTTTGTCTTCAGCTTTGGCTAAATATTAATTTTAATCTCAGGTTAAGGTTTATTGAGTAATTCATTAATTTAAAAATATTAATTTGGCTCATACTATGTTTCAGTCACTGCATTAAGAGATTAAGTTAAGCTTACATTTCTGACTTGATAAGTATTTAAACTCTTGATGTTATGAAATGGCCAATGTTTTTTCATATCTTTTGCACTAGCATTCAACAAATGTGTCTGTTCCATGGTAGGAACTCAAGTATGCTATATTTGTTGAATAAATAGCTCTGTTAGTAGAACTTCCAACTTATGGATCCTTTAAAAATATTTGATAAATAAATTTTCTATTTCATCACACAGATTATTAATGTATAAAAGTTGAGGAAAACTAATATTTAGGAAAGACTTCAATAGCTCATCATAAAACTTCCCTTCAGGTGACAATTATGGAGCTCGGTTTTATTGGGGAACTGTAATTGAATCCACTGGAATGCCATCTTCCTATCATATCCCCATGACATATTTCTCATCTTACAAGAATATACCATAATTAAAATTTTTTGAAAAATGTCTTGTTGAAAATCAGGTACAACAATTTAATGCATTTCTCTCGTTTTCCTGACTAGTAATGCAGTCAAAACAGGAAGCAATGTTGCTTTGACGTGATTTACTCTTGTTGCACCAAACTATGAGGCTTTCTTGTTATCCTGATTTAAAAATAAAATCCCTAATCTTTTCATAAAATGTCTTATTCTCTGATTTGGGAATATTACTGAGCTGCTAAGTGAAAGGTTTTTGAAATTCACATTATTATTTTTTCTTAAATTAACAAACAAATGAGAAATCCCACATTTAGTAAACTTTCAGAATCTGAACATTCTTCATTACTTCATAAAATCTTAACAATTTTGTTGCAAAGTCTCTCAATTTCTCATATTATTATTAGTCTGATTGAAACATGAAAACAAAGAGTTCAAACATTCTATTGCATAATCACTTATCTTCTTAGTAATTATCTTTAGTCGATTTAAAAAATATATTTTTTATTTTTATTGATTTCAGAGAGGAAGGGAGAGAAAGAGAGAAATAGAAACATGAATGATGAGAGAGAATCATTGATCAGCTGTTTTCTGCACACCCCCTACTGGGGATCAAGCCCACAACCCAGAAACGTGCTCTGACTGAGAATTGAACCGTGATCTCCTGGTTCATAGGTTGATGCTCAACCACTGAGCATTCTAACGCTGGGCTTTAGTCAAATTTTTACCTTTTTCTTTCTTTTTTTTTTTTTTTTTTTTTAAATATATTTTATTGATTTTTCACAGAGAGGAAGAGAGAGGGATAGAGAGCTAGAAACATCGATGAGAGAGAATCATCGATCAGCTGTCTCTTGCACACCCCCTATCGGGGATGTGCCCGCAACCAATGCACATGCCCCTGACCAGAATCGAACCCGGGACCTTTTAGTCTGTAGGCCGACGCTCTATCCACTGAGCCAAACCGGTCCCTGCAAATTTTTACCTTTTTCTATTTATCAACAATTTTGGTGAAAATAAAGATGAACTGCAGTTTTACTTTTTCTTTTTACCCATCAACCAATATAACACCTTTGTTACATCCTTTCTTTTTTGTCTTATTCTGAACATGAATAAATGACCATTTGGTTATCCTTACCATAATGTAAAACTTTTATGACTAGTTAGGATTAGCTTCTTGGCAATATATTTACCAGCATTTTGGTGTAGTTGACTATATACATATTGCCAATTTAGTTTACTGGAGGCATAAAAATATACATGAAAACATATATGTCTATATACATACATATCTATGCATATAAATTTATTAATAAATTTTGTAGTTTTTTATTTCAATCATTTTTCATGTCTTCATAATCTTATGCTTCCTGCATATGGGAGGATTCAATATATAAATTTGGGTGTATAAATTTTATATAATTTTAAAATACAATATAATATATGGTGGTTTTAATATAATCAAATAATTAAACTTTGAAGTATCTCTCTAAAAATAATTTAGCTCTTTAATTTTCTAAAAGGATAGTTGCATATTTGCATGACATTTGCATTCCTATACTTCACACACAGTTTACATAGAGTATGATAAAAAATTATTAATAAGAAATAATAATTTGCTTATAGTAGGTAACGAATATGGGATGGAGATATGTTGCAGAAATACCTGTTGTCACTCAAATTTAAGACTCTTAGTTTCTGCATCTGTCCAATCTCTTCAGGAAGAAATTCAAGTTTATTGGAGCGTAGAGACATAACTGTTACATTTTTACAGCTTCCAATCTATAGGTAACAACAAAGTGTAAAGAATCACAATGTAGACTATATTTCTATATTAATTTTTATAATTTATAAAACAATTTAATTAATTTACACATTTCCTTATCAGTTAGAGTAAGATTATAAAAGTTAATACACATATTAAGATGATATGTGCATTAACTTTTATAATCTTACTCTTTAAAATACGTGTATCATTATTTATATTTTGTTTTAGACATGAAGGCAATGTACATTTCATATTCTTTTACATATTAGGAAGGAATAAGCCTATCAAATAAAAGAGTAATATGCAAAATTACTCTTGGGGTCAAAGATGGCTGCCCCCATGTGGACACAAGATGGCCACCACAAGATGGTCAGCAGGGGAGGGTAATTGTGGAAAGTTAGGGATGATCAGGCCATCAGAGGAGGGCAGTTGGGGGTGACCACGCCAGCAGAAAAGGGCATTTGGGGGGGACCCAAGCCTGCAGGGGGGGGCAGTTGGGGGGAATCAGGTCTGCAGGGGAGAACAGTTGGGGGGGGCAGGCATGCAGGGGAGGGCAGTTGTGGGCAAACAGGCCAGCAAGGAGGCAGTTAGGGATAACTGGGCCAGCAGAGGAGGACAGTTGGGGGAGACCAGGTCAGCAGGAGAAGGCAGTTGGGGAGGACAGGACTGTATGGGAGGGCAGTTGTGGGGGGCAGGGGAGAGCAGTTGTGGGGGACCAGGCCTGCAGGAGAGGGGACTTGGGAGGGGGGTAACAGGCCTGCAGTGGAGGGCAATTTGGGAGGGGGGGACTAGGCCTGCAGTGGAGGTGAGTTTGGAGGGACCTAGGCCTAAATGGGAAAGCAGTTGGGGGAGACCAGCCCTGCAGGGAAGGACATTATGGGAGAGGGACTAGGCCTGCAGGGGATGGCAGTTGTGGGCAATCAGGCCTCTAGGGAGGGCAGTTAGCGGTGACCGGGCCAGCAGAAGAGGGCAGTTGGGGGAGACCAGGTCAGCAGGAGAGGGCAGTTGGAGGGGGGCAGGCCTGCAGGGAAGAGCATCTGGTGGGGACCAGGCCCGCAGGCGAAGGCAGTTGTGGGCAATCAGGCCAGCAGAGAGGGCAGTTAGGGGTGACTGGGCCAGCAGAAGAGGGCAGTTAGGGATGACTAGGCTGGCATGGGAAGGCAGTAGGGGCAATCGGGTCAGCTGGGGAACAGTTAGGTGTCTATCAAGCTGGCAGGGGAGTGGTTAAGGGGGTGATCAGGCTAGCAGGCAGAAGTAGTTAGGGGCAATCATGCAGAAGGAGTCAAGCAGATAGGAGCCAGCAGTCCTGGATTGTGAGAGGGATGTCCCAGATTGGAGAGGGTGCAGGCTGGGCTGAGGGACACCCTCCCCCTGTGCATGAATTTCATGCACCGGGCCTCTTGTTTTCTTTATAATTTTATTATTAGAACACTTAATTGTTTTATGTCATCTTGTTTTTGCCCATCCAAGTAAATAGTAACATATCTATGTTTAAAATAGAAAATACATATTCAAATGTGAAGTATTGTTGATGTTTCTGTGGTAAAGTTAGTTTTACTATAATTTTGGGCTTTAAAATTATATATGTGATACCTTAATCAATAAAGAAAAAGAAAACTGGAAAGAAATGATATATATATATAGATTATTGCTCCCTTGTCATGGAAGCATTTTATAAAATGTTAAATTGAAAACATACTTCACACTTTTTCCTTGACATTAATGAATAAAACTTCTGTTTAGAAAGAACCTCTTGGTGTATCCTGAAGCTAAAATAATATTGTTATACAATATGATACTTTAAAAAATTACTTACATTAAAAATCTTTCACTTTAGGAATGGAAATGTAATGATCTCAATATATTTATTTCTCTTCTTAAAAGCAAAATATATAAATTATTAAAAAATTTGTTCCTTAGCATTAATTAATTTACAATATTTTATTATTTTTCCTTGCAAGCAATGTTTAATTGCATTTTCTGGGTTGAATATAGAACTTATCACTTGTCATTTAAAAGTGAATGATTAACAAATACATATATGTATATATAGACAATTCCTATGACTATTCAAAACTCAACTCATAAATCTAAACTGCTTTATATTTCTTAAGATTTAATCATAAAACAGAATTATTAAAGGTTAATTAATAGAAACAAGTTCATTCCTTACTTCTCTGGGTAATTCTGGAAGAAAATTCTCATCGACTGCTAATGTTCGAAGACTATGAAGGTAACCAACAGTAGGAGGTAGTGACTCCAGTTCATTACAGCTACAGTCAAATTCTTCTAATAAAGATAAACTGAAAAGATAAATATATTAGTTAGACATTTTAAAACATTAGATAGCAAAAATTTTTGAAAAAGCCACATGTTCAGATTCAGCAAAAACATTATTTATCTAGTGACTGAATAATTTATATATTGATACATTTATTTTATCAGTTTAGCCAAGTGATTAAATACCATTTAATAAGTAGTTTCATTTGGTAAAATAAATATAGTTTATTTCCCCCCTTTCTAAATTCACCTGCCACTTAACTGAACCATTGGAAATGAGAGATGGTTTTGTTTGTTTGTTTGTTTGTAATATAACAAAGGTGTCATTTATAGTCAGATGTTCATAAAGTATGCCCTTGGAATGAATACATATAGCTAGCATGGGCAGGTGGAAGGGTAGAGGATGTGCCCAAAAAAGGGAGAATAAAGGGGCCAAACAGTCAAAATATTGATTAAATGCAAGTTATTTTGCTAAGCATTTTAGAGATATAAATAACTCATCTTTTGCTTGTAACAATTCTATACCTATTATTTTACATTCTATTGTACAGATAAGGAAATGATGACTTACAGAGGTGAAGTAACTTGCCTAAGGTCACACACAGTAGGAAAGCTGAAACCTAAATGCAGACAGCATGGACCCTGCATGACCTTGCCTCTTAGCCTGTGCCTCTGGAGCAGAGGCTACAAACAGAGCTTATTTCAACCTGCAGATGTGTTTGGTTTACACAATGGTAAACTCTACATAATGACCCAGACTTTTGGTAACTCTTTATCTATCTATCTATCTATCTATCTATCTATCTATCTATCTATCTATTTATTTTTATTGATCTCAGAGAGGCAAGGAGAGGGAGAGAGAAACAACAATGATGAGAGAGAGTCACTGATTGGCTGCCTCCTGTATGCCCCATACTGGGGATCAAGCCCACAACGTGGGCATGTGCTCTGACCAGGAATTGAACTGTGACCTCCTGGTTCATAGGTCGACGCTTAACCACTGAGCACACTGGCTGGGTGATTTTTGGTACCTCTTAAAAAAGAGGAAGACCTGGAATTACTGAGCATGTAGTCGTCCATAGCAAGTAATGGCTATTGCCTCTGTTCACAGTTCTCCAGTTTGTCACAACCACTATTGCTTCATATTAGCTAGCTTGACCCCGTATCTACAGAAAGGACTCGCATGAATGCACTTTCAAGTTATCACCAGGGAGCCAGACATTCCCATGGTTGGTTTGAGACAGCTGGGAAAGATAGAGGGCCTGGCACAGAGGAAGCACTAGCTGTATTTAAGTTGTCAGTGATGTTGTTGTTAATATTATTATACTGTCATCACTACTCACATCATTGTTATTACTGTAATAGGAAGGAACCCCTAGGGGGAAGATCTTGCCCTCGTAAAGAGAGACTGAATTAGAGTTCTCTGGACTAGATTGTAGAATCAGCTTCCTTTTTTTATACCTTGGAACTTGCTGGTCTGACTGCCATTTACTCCCCTCATGTAGTTTCACAGAATTTAAGTATGTGGGTTTTTAGTCAGTCAGAATGAATCTGTACTCGAGCCCTGTCAATTGCTAGATGTATTATCTTGGGTATTAAAAAATAAAACAAAAACCACGGCACAAAAATTAAAGCTGATTTCATCTACTTGCCAAGCAAAGGGAGAAGCAGGGAAGAAATTCGCTGAGTAGTGCTCTGAGGGGGAAAATTAAATGCTAAAAGGGGAAGCTACCAGTGGATTATGCTAATTAAGGATTAAAATTGTGCATTATGTAGAAAGTGAAATACCTTCACAAGTCTGTGTTCAGGTAAACCAAGTCCCATTATCCATGGGGCAAGAAAGAAATGAGTTCAGTCAGGTCAAGTCTGACCCGGACCGAAGTAACTCACCATCCATGGTCCTTCAGAGCTTCACCAGGTTAGAACCAGATGAGGCGAGACAGCATTCCGCTTTGAGTATTACCTCTTCGGCAAATGCTGCTTACGTGAAATTTTTTCTTTTGCACAGACCAGCTCTATAACTTTTCTCTATTCCTTAGTTTCTTTATGTTTGCAATGAGGATCCGAATATGTTTTGCCTCATGTAGTTGCTCTGAGTATTTCATGAACTATTGTGAGTCAAGAATCTAGCACAGTGTCTGCCATGAAATACATACTCAGGATATCTATTTTCTTTGTGTTAGTGAATCACGATACATTTGTTTCTAAATCCTTTGAAACCCTCACACGCAGGGGTGCTCATGTCGCTAGGCACCAGGTGTGCATGGCTGTGTGACTATGGTGTGTGTGTGTGTGTGTGTGTGTGTGTGTGTGTGTGTGTATGTTGGTGGGCACAGGGGTCAATGTATTGGGAAACTCATAACAGTTTGTTTGTTTCTAAAAAAAAGTCTAGTACAGTGTCTTACACATAATGCACTTAATATATTTGGTAGAATTTGTTAAAAGACATTTCTATCAATAGTTTGTTGTCATGTAGTCAGTAAGTGGTGATAAAGTACCAGGATTTTTTAAAATAAAATTTTCTGATATATGTTCCAGGTAGATACCAAAGAATTAAACAATCCTATATAATAAAAGCCTAATAAACTACCAGTAAGTGTTCGGTTGTCCTGGTCAGCCGTTCAACCAATCAAAGCATAGTATGCTAATAATATGCTAAGGATGCTCAACTGCTCACTATGATGTGCACTGACCACCAGGGGGCAGATGCCCCGACAGGTTGGTTAGTTTGCTGCTAGGGTGCAGCTTATCAGAACTGAGTGAGATGGGCCCGACATACCCTGGAGTCCTCCCATGTTCCCTCCCTGGCTGGCCAACCTCCTGCATCCCTCACCTGCCCTGGTGGGATCCCTCAGCCTGGCCTGCGCCCTCTCACAATCGGGGCTGAAGGACATCCCCTCCTTGACCCCACCCAAAGTGCACAAATTTCATGCACCAGGCCTCTAGTTAAAATATAATTAAAGTATCTTATTGCTTTCTTCTTTCATAAAAACATGTCTTGAAGTCAGTCTTGAGTCACACAGTAAGGCAGTCCTTACTTTCTATAGATCTGATAGGCACAAATTTTAGTTATTATGGTTTCATGTAATAATATTAGTTTCTTAACAACATGACTGAAATTTCAATTACCTCATGTACTAACTGTGAGTAACTGTGTAAAATATGAACTTCACTGCTAACTCTTCAGTCCAGAGTCACAGTGTAAATAACATGTGTGTCTCAACAGTGACTAGTCACATTTCTTCTTTCAAAGTCTTTGTGATCAGTCGCTGCACAGTGTTACTCAGGTCACACACAGACTGTCAATCCCATCTTTGTGTTGCTTACTTGTCAATCAGCAATAAAGGGATACTATAGGCACAATACTGAACATTTAAAGCACTACTATAGTTGGATCGTATTCTTGGTCATCATAATTCTTTGGGGTATTTAAATGAAAATGTGAAAGTTTGTGTTTATTACCAAGAACTTCATTAATCCAAGCAATGGACCGAGAAATTATTTCAACTTTGAAAGCCTATTATCTTACGTAGGCTATTTAATAGGCTAAAGACCAAGCATCGTGGTTAGCTGTGTTTTTTGGAAGAAATATGACATAAAGCATACAACTGAACATATTAAAGCATCATGGCAGGAAGCAACAGCAAATAACATGGGTGCAGTATAGCAGAGACTTTCAGCACATTGTGCAAATAACTTTGCAGAATTCAAATCAAACATAAATGGAGTTGTAGAAGAAATGGCTGACTGCTGAAATTTGCCTGCCACTATTCGAGAGACTAGATATGCTGCCAGTGGATCTCAGTGGAGGCAAACCTGTAGACAAAAATGAGGAAGGTGGTTATGATGAAAATGATGATGTCCCAGAGGAAATGATGCTGGGAATCAACTTCACCTTAAAGGAACTCTCAGAGATGTTTCTAGACACTGAAAGCCTGGAGGATAAAAGTTTGGAAGCTAATCCAAGCTTAAAAAGGAGTATGGCAATTCACTGCCACATAGAAAAAAGTTCACTCCAAATTATAATTTACTGATGAAAAAGGCAAACACTGCTCAAATTAATCTTGATAGTGTTGTTTTCTTTTTAAAAAAATATATTTATTGATTTCAGAGAGGAAAGGAAAGAAAGAGAGGTAGAAACATCAATGATGAGCGAAAATCACTGATAGCTGCCTCCTGCATGGCTTTACTGGGGATGGAGCCCATAAGCTGGGCATGTGCCCTAACCAGGAATGAACTTCCCTGGTTCATAGGTCAATGCTCAACCACTGAGCCATACTGGTTGGGCTTGATAGGCTGGTTTTTTTTTTTTTTTAAACAAAATAAATAAAACATTGTAATGTTGATGTTCCTAATGCTTACAATGACAGTATACTAAATAAATATTGGCTTTACTGTTTCTTCATTTCCCTATACATTTATTAAACAATCATACAAGTGTTTAATGTTTTGAAAAGGTTTTGAAAGAGCTTTTGAGAACAATCATAATTTTCCTCATGGACTGTTTTGAACAGTTTCAGGTTGCAGCCTACTTGTTTTTATGGTCTCCTACTACTGTGCAAAGCAAGAACTTCCTGCATTAAAAGACAATAGTCCTTCATTGACTGACTTATTTCACTTAGCATAATGCTCTCCAGTTCCCTCCATGCTGTTCCAAATGGTAACACTTCCTTCTTTTTTACAGCAGCGGGGGTGGGAGGGGAAGGGATGCTGGGTGGGGGAGGTCAATGGGCAGAAATAAAGGAGACATATGTGCTATTATTTGTAATACCTTAAACAATAAAATAAATAAAAAAATTTAAAAAGACAAACATTTTTTCCTATACTATGGATGTTCTGAATTCATAATTTATAGCCTGAAAGCATTTTACATCTCTGAGATACAGAGGAAAAATATTAGGTGCAAAACACACATTCTTCAATGATTTCTGAAATTCAAAAGATTCTAATGAATAATTTAACATTCTAACTGACTATTTAAAAAAAAAATTTTATTGATTTTTACAGAGAGGAAGGGAGAGAG